TGTTGCCTGGTGGCTGCACCGGGGGATGTGAGGCTGAGATGGCTACGCTGAAAGGACGTCTTGCCCGACTGGAAAGAGAGATGTCCTCCCTAAAAGAGAAATGTATGATTCTGTCATATTGACCAGATTATTATATTTGACACAACATTAGGGATGTGGATTTAATAAATTAGTTTTTTTTGTTGTTGATGTCCAGGTCCATGTTCTGCAAATTGTCCAAAAGACTGTAGTGGCAATGGAGAATGTCAAAAGGGGAAATGTATCTGCCAACAGGGATTCATGGGTCCAGACTGCAGTAAATGTACACAAGGAGTTGAGTGTAATAAAAGTAAGTGAGAGTGCTCTGTTATTTGGATGTGATCGCATTAGAGACACATATTTGAAGTCAGAGAGCTTAATTTTTTCCTCTAACTAATGTCTCATTCACACTTTGCCTGTAACCTCTACTCTGCAATTTCAGAAGCTGCCAAAGGAAAGGTAAAGTTAACTGTGGAAACAGTGACCGTACAGGCGAATAAAGACAAGGAAAACCTGCAGGACAAAACCACCAAAGTAGAGCATGCACTCTTCCAGAAGGTGGAGCAGAAGACGGTGTCTGAAGCCAAAGAGACTGACACTAAACCCAAAGTGGTTACTAATGCTAAAGCAGGTCTAAATAAAACACAATCAAAACAAGAAGCCTCTGTTAAGAAAATAACTATTAAGGACTCTTCAAGTGCCTCAAAGACCAGTCGCCCAAATGTCCGTCAAGATCTGTTGAAACATGAGGGAAGAAAGCATGAAGAGGCCCGCAAAGGCAAACTGACAGTCCTGAGCTCTAAAAAGTTCCTCCAAAAAACTGACAGTAAAACAAATCGTAATTCTGAACAACTAAAAGACGAACCTCCAACCAAGATAACCCAGATTAACATGAAGAAATCTAATGGCACAGCTAAAATTGTGACCATTCTGTCCAAGGTTGTGGGAACAAACAAAACGAGAGCAGGGAAGGAGACCTTGGAGCAGTCCACGCTGGCTGAGAAGAATGTAACTCAGTCATCTGTACATAAACCCCCTAAGAAAGTGCAGTCTGTTGACAACAGAAGCTCTGAAGCTGGCAAAACAGGAAAAGAGAAAGTTACACAGAAGAGTCAGTATTTAGTGAATGCAACCATTGCAGCAACACCAGGCGAGGCTCGAATGCAGAACAAAACAACTGTCAGTGGCTCGGGGAACGCAAAGAGGATGGGAGGATCTGGATTAGGTTCTGTAAAGGTTGTAAACGTCTCATCCTACAGCTTTACTGTCACGTGGGCAGCACCACAAGGGATGTTCAAGAACTTCACCGTGATCAGAAGAGAGCCTCGGACAGAGGATGATGTAGACGACCATGAGGAGTTTGAAGAGGAAGCTCTTGAAGGAGACAAGGCCTCCGCAGCAAAGAACACAACTGAAGTCCAGGTACAGAGTGAGAGCACCAACACGACTGCTGCCTCTGGTAAAGCTGTTGGATCTAGAGGCAAAGGTGAAACCAAGAGGATCTCTATGGTGGTCCCTGGCAGCGTACGCTCTGTGGAGTTCAGTAACCTTCGGGCAAACACAGGCTATGTCCTGCACATATATGGTACTGCAACTGAGAGAAAATCAAAGATTCACAGAGTAACTGCAATTACAGGTACTTACAGTTTAAGTACATTTCTCATTGTCACATGCATAATTCCTCCACTACACGACCAATACTGGGAGCAATGAATATGTGGAAATGGGAATAAACACCCCCTTATATTCTCTCACCAGGTCCTGAGCCAGCCACAGAGATGGTTTTCAGCAATGTAACAGAGTCTTCTCTCAGTGTTTCCTGGTCCAAACCAAAGACCACATTCGCAGGCTGCAGGGTCACATTCACCAACATTGTCACAGGTCTGTCAAAGGCTGCCTGTATACTGTTCCTCAGGTCAAAATGTCCCTTACTTTATATCAGGATCTTTTATTGGGAAGTGTTAATTGTTTCAGTGTGAAATTTGTGATGTATCATCTTGCTAGGAGAGAGCCGCTTTGTGACCGTGGACTCTCAGCAATCTTCCGTGGTTCTGTCCAAGTTGTCTGCTGGATCCTCCTACATAATTTCTTTAACTACTACAAAAGGCAGAGCGCAGAGTGACGCCCTCACATCCGTTATCACCACAGGTACACAGTTAGATAAGCTTACTCATATGTCCAGCTACCCTTTTTTGTCTTAGTGTAGCAGCAATAAACACACCATGTATTGTCTCTTGACTGCAGTGCCCGCCCCTCCGACACATCTACAAGTTGTCAATGTGACAGATACCAGAGCTGTGCTGCAATGGACACCCAGTCTGGGGAAAGTAGACCGCTTCATCATCAGCTATGAGTCCGCCAAGAGTGAGTGTGGCAGCATTACCCTAATAACTAATGAGAAAGCACTAATGGCTAAGCTAAGTGTAATTAATTCTCCTTCTTGCCACAGCTCCTAATGTGACAGTGACAGTGATGCTCGCCGGAAACTCAGTGGAGCACCATTTGAGAGGCCTGCAGAGAGGCACCTTGTACACAGTCAAAGTCCTGAGCCAGAAGGACAGTCTCCAGAGTATGGCTATCACAACTACATTTACCACAGCTAATGGTGAGTAGAGATGAGAATAAATACAGGAGGATGGGGTGTGTTTACTTGCTCTTCAGAGTTTGTGTGTAAAGTGTGTGAACATGCCTTTTTGTGTCCCTCAGTGGTTAAAGCCAGTGAGGTGGGTGCTCGCTCCGCAGTGATAGCATGGAAAGCTTCCACTGTTGTTTATCACAGTTACAGACTGATCTACCAAGTGGCAGGAGAGGAGACAAAGGTGAATAATATTCCCTCATCATTGGCACATGCAGCACAAAGAGAGCCCCTACATTTACAGAATTGCATGCTCTTCTGTGTACACATTAGGAGGTGATCCTGGACCCATCCACCACTGAGTACAAGCTGACGGGACTGTTGTCAATGTCACGCTATATTGTTCTGGTACAAGGCGAGAGAGATGGGCACTACACACCGGTTGTCACCACAGAATTCATCACAGGTGTTGTATTTTATTTAATCCAGCTGATTTATCTGCCCTATCAATACTTTATCATAACTAAGTTATTCTTTTTTTCTTCCCTTCAGGCAAACTGCGTTTCCCCTTCCCTACTGAGTGCTCTCAGGAGCTGCTGAATGGAGCTCTGCAGTCAGGAGAGGTGGATATCTACCCGCAAGGAAAAGAGGGACGAGCAGTCAGAGTCTACTGTGACATGGAGAGTGACGGAGGCGGCTGGACGGTGAGCCAAATTAGTTAGCGAATAGTTGTCTGAACAAACCTTTGCACTGAAGAAGTGGCAGAATGGCTTAAAATACTCTGCATTTGTATAGCGCCTTTCTGGTCTTTTTGACCACTCAATCAACACTACATCTGCATTCACCGGTCAAACACATTCATACAAGTGCTCAAACCGAAACATTCACACACTGACGCCAATCTGATGTGTGTTTTTAGGTGTTCCAGAGGAGGATGAATGGAAACACAGACTTCTACAGAACCTGGAGTGAATATAGTGCTGGCTTTGGAAACCTCAGCGAAGAGTTCTGGCTCGGTACAGTTGGACCAAGTTCTCATCAGCACATCTGCATCAGAATCTTTTTTTAAATGTAAAATCAGTCTAAACTATTCACTTTTCATTTCTTGTACTATTAGGAAATGAGCTTCTTCACAACCTAACCAGTGTCGGCCCTGTGAGTCTGAGAGTGGATTTGCGATCTGGAAATGACACTGCCTACGCTCACTATGCCAACTTCTCCATTGATTCAGCGGACAGGCACTATACCCTTACAGTGTCTGGCTACACTGGAACTGCAGGTTAAAACTGTATAGAAGTTGAATTTTCCTGAACATGTGATGTGCAGTCTATACTGTAGGCTATTATACAGTAAATGCTCAATGTCACTGTATTTCTTTGTCAGGTGACTCTATGAGGTACCATAATGGGCGTCCATTCTCCTCCCGGGACAAGGACCCTGATCCTCTGGGGATCCACTGTGCCAGGGCCTACATGGGAGGCTGGTGGTACAAGAACTGCTACAAGACCAACCTTAATGGTCTTTATGGCATCAGCAGTAATAATCAGGTACAGTCACCTCTTTACCTTGACATAGACAAATTAACTTTAACATAAAGCAAATATCATCATTTTTATTTTTCGGTTCTGACACAGGGAATCGTCTGGATAGACTGGAAAGGTAAAGACTCCTCCATTCCTTTCACTGAGATGAAGTTCAGACCGTCCAGGTTCTCTCCTGCAACTCATGGCTAAGGATACATCAGTCTTCACGGGTTCTCCAACCTGAAAATCTCACACCTGCTCCAGAAATCCAGAAGACTGCGGATCTCACAGTTGCTGCATGTCACTTTCCAATTGAAATTGCATGTACAGTGGTTTTGATAGCTATAATGACAGCTTTCAGTACCTTTCATTCACTGTGCAGGATTTTTTTCTGATCTGTTTTTTTTTCTCTTCTGGAAACCAAAAGAGTGGATAAAATGTATTATTGCAACTTTTTGTATACTGTTCTGCCTGACCCATGCATTTCAACATAGTTTTGTTTTGACTCTAATACCTTCTTGTGCACCACCATGGTATGCCACCTCACTACTACTGTAATTAATTATGCACTGTCTCACTCCATTGGAATAAATGTGGCTGACGTGGGTCTGAAGTTGTTTTGTTTGTAAAAGTCAAAAAAATACCCAAATCCTTTGAAGGAAATGCAGTTTCTTCATTCCCTGCTCTACAAGATAAACACATGCAGTGTGACTGGTTGACATCTCAACTGTGATGTGTTATCATGTCCTTCAGCAAGTCGTGGTCATGGTTATCAGGTTACATGTGTTAAATTAATCTCATTATCAGATATGTTGACCTAAAAAAATATTTAGACGTCCTTGATTTTGGTGAAAACACCAACATCATATCAAACTAATGGGCTTATAGACGGATGAGAAGACTATAAATGCAGCAGGCACTGTGCTGACCAGCTTTCTGAAGTAGGACACTAGCAAGAACACACAAAATGGCAAATGAAATATCTGTTATCATCGTGGGAGCTGTGTTCCTGGTTGTGTTGCTATTGATGGTACTGATTTGCACTTCTGGTCAGAGAGAGAAGAAGAAAAACCACAAGGGAAGTAAGTCTTCAATCTGATTGTTGTCTTCATGTGAATATTTGACCATACTGGTTGTACAATTAAGTATTTTGATGTCATGAAAATATAGTGTGAATGAATTATATAGTGAATAGGACATTTTCTCAACAAATGGACAACTATTGTAGTACACCACTGAGCTTGATTACTTGGTCTAATGAATTTTTTGGATTAGTATTCAGTCTATCTCTGTTTTACCTTTGTCTTCTTTTATCTCCTTCGTCCAGAAGTTGAATCTAGACTGCTGAAGTATCTCTATCAGTTCCTTCCCTGCTCCTCGCCTCCTTCCCTCCCAGGTCCTCCCAGCCTTTTCCTCATTGGCAACATGATGGAGCTGACACGCGATCATCTGCCAATTCACCTGACCAATCTGGCACAGCAGTACGGAAACATCTACCGCCTTAAATGTGGAAACACAAGTAATCATACATGTTTATTATATCAACAAGCAAATCAACCTTTTAAAAGACCATTTTGTGGATAGTTGGGTTCAGATGATCACAAAAGCACAACCCCTTTGTCCTTTTTCAGCCATGGTGGTACTTAACAGTAGTAAAGTCATAAGAGAAGCACTGGTGAAAAAATGGTCAGACTTTGCTGGGAGACCAGTTTCATACACAGGTAAACAGTTTAAACCTCTTTTGCAATAATAGTAGTATAGACAATTATTGCATTATTTTAATCCTTGTGACCTCTCCTGACTTGTATCAGCTGACATTGTGTCTGGGGGAGGGCGCACAATATCCCTGGGGGACTACAATGAGGAGTGGAGGGCACATCGTCGTCTCGTCCACAGTGCTTTGCAGCGTTGCTGCCAGCAGTCATTGCATGACGTGATTGAGAGACAGGCACTGCATCTGAGAGAGGTACAGAACACAAGAGGAACAAATTATACACCAGCAGCCTGTAATGTGATAGCAGAGATCCAGACAGCAAAGCAAATGTTAGGGTATTTCCAAAGTGGCCACATAAAAAAAAAAAAAACGTTGTTTGTCCACTGTTAGGTTTTGATGGACTATCAAGGCAGTGCTGTAGATCTCTCAGAGGATTTCACAGTGGCCGCCAGTAATGTCATTACCACTTTGGCTTTTGGAAAAGAAGTGAGTATATCTCCTCCCACAGCTCAGTTTGAACCTCTTGAGTATCGGAGATGGATTGCAAAATCTGTTTTTCATCAATGAACAGCTGTGGTTGCGCCAGACCAGTGCTTGGTTGCCTGTTTATGTTGGGAACTGGGCAAAGTCACTGTTTATGTAGGCCTCAAAAGCTTACATTAAATACATGCATGCATTCATAATGTGCTTTCCTTTTACTGGACAGTGAATTTCATGGCTAGGATGTATTATAATATACATCTCTGTGATTTCTAGTATGATAAGAGTTCTTTGGAGCTGCAGCAGCTGCACAGCTGCCTGAACGAGATTGTCGCTCTGTGGGGCTCCTCTTGGATTTCTGCTCTGGACTCCTTCCCACTGCTCAGAGTCAGTAAATATTCACTATCTTGACTGCATATCACACGAAAGACAACAAACATCTCTTGAATGGGATTTCACACATTATGTCATTTGTTCTCTAAAAGAAATTACCCAATCCTGTGTTTTCCCGTCTCCTGAAAGAGGTGGCCAGGAGAGATGAAATCATAAGAAAACATCTCAACAATTACAAGGTTAGCAAAGACAAATGCCAAAGAACAAAAGGTGGAAAAATGTGTCACTGTTTAGAAACACTTTCAATAGAGAGGCCTAATAATGCTAAATTGCTCAGGTCATAAGTGAAAAAATGAGGCTTGGTATGGCTTACTGATTAGGTAAAACTTGTGGGCAAACATTCTGTCAAACAAAATGCCAAAATTTCTAAATCACACAAATTCAATCATTCAGTCAAAATGATTTTAAAAAATGAAACAAGTTATCTACTAAAACCTGTGTTCATTTTTTTAGCTGTCACAAGACAACAAAAACAAGTATGCCATCACAGGATCACTCCTTGAGGGCCTTGACAAACATCGGAACACAGAACATGGTGTAGTAAGTACATAGAATGGAGAATACCAGAGGAGATCAATTTGAATTGGGGGTACGAATTGGCTTTGGAGGTGTTTGTATATTATCCACCTCTTTATTTTAACAGATGTTTTTCTATAATTAATAATGTTAAAAATGTACTACTAAAATGTGGATAAATATATTATTGCATAATATTTGATTTAAGATTAGAACGTAGTGTACTATTAATAGTTCTAGTGGACAACATTACATATGTTCATGTCTCCAGCTGACAGATATTCACGTTCACATGGCCACTGTGGACCTTCTCATCGGGGGAACAGAGACCACTGCAGCCTGGCTGAACTGGACTGTGGCCTTCCTATTGCACAGACCAGAGGCAGGGCTCCTCATTTCACATAAAACGCCATATTTACACACGCTGACGTTTATCTCAAGGTCTCTCTCCTCTCTTACTTTAATCTTCAGGTGCAGGCCAAGGTGTACGAGGAGTTGTGCAGGGTACTTGAGGGACGATACCCCAAGTACAGTGACAGACACAGACTTCCCGTTCTGTGTTCTCTGATCCATGAGGTGCTCAGACTCAGGCCAGTTGCCCCGCTGGCGGTGCCACACAGAGCCATCAGAGACAGCAGGTCAGCTGAACGGCAATATGCTGCGGTAATGAAATAATGCAAATGAAAGATTGCATTATAGCAATAATAAAATCCCACAAAACACGTTTAGTATTGCAGGCTACTTCATCCCCAGGAACACAGTCATCATTCCTAATCTTTTTGGAGCTCACCATGATCCTGCAGTTTGGACTGACCCATACAGCTTCAAACCAGGTACTGGTTCTCCTCTAATTCTGAGGTGGTGTGCATTCCTGTCACTCAGCAGATCTTAAATCAAGTAGCTTCTCTTTCTCTTTCAGAGCGCTTTTTGGAAGGGGGAGGAGGCTCCACCCGCGCCCTGGTCCCTTTTGGAGGGGGGGCTCGGCTCTGCCTGGGAGAGTCTGTTGCCAAAATGGAGCTCTTTCTGTTCACTGCCTACTTGCTGAGAGATTTCCAGTTCATCCCTCCTGAGAGCGAGGCCTCTCTGCCCGACCTAAAAGGAGTTGCTAGTGTTGTACTCAAGATCAAGTCTTACACAGTTATAGCACATCCCAGACGTGACTAATCCTTGAACCACAGAGGGTGTACTGCTTTAATGTTGTGTGTTTATTTGTGCGCAAATAAATTATTCAAAAAAAACTTTACCATATAAAAATAATAACATAACCTTCATATGTATGATTTTCATTGGTACTCCTTTACATTTACCTGTAGTATTGGATATCCTGATTAAAATAGTCTTTAAATTTGTTACAATTATTTATTTAATTGTCACTAAATAACATATCTGAACACAGGCTACACCTATATATATACACACAGTGATTTGTTTGATCTGTTGAATAAAGGTGTTTATGGTCATTTAAAGATGTATACATGAAAATAATGAGCCTCAACATCACATGGAGGGGGAAATTTACAGGAGGAGCCAAGGAACTGAGGAGCCGCCAGATAGAAAGCTTGAACAAGTGAACACTGTTCAGGTGGAGATCCATGCGATTCAAAATCTGGGGGTTGTACAGCTTACTGTAAACAAAAACTGGTCAAATACTAGTAACTTCACACTAAGTGCAGTGTGCTCATTGTGCAACAGAGTCTGAGAGCTCCACCAAGTGGAGAAGAGTTGAACATTGTGCCGACTGTTGAAATAAGTTCCCTCCTGGTGAAAATGTTCTGTAGACCTGAATGTCACTCTTCATCTGTGGGTTAGAGGCACATCTTGAAAAAGTGTTTGCATTGACACCCTTAATAACTATGTGATGATGGATAACAATGATAGCATGTATTACTCAAAAGTATTTTTATTTGTACATGAGACAGACAGGAAAAACTTTACATAAAAAAACACAATGGCAGCATTGTACATTGGAATCGGTTTTATACTATATATGCAGGCTATAAAAGAATAAAAACAAAAGAAAATGAACATGGGTTCCTCTCATGGGCTTGTCTTAAACAAAACATGAGTTGCATTCAAGCCATTTCCTGAAAATGTGTATGGAAAAACTTCTGCTATCAGAGTATTTAGCAATAAGCGGGGTCATTTGCAAGAAAGAACATCTTCTGAGAGAAGGATGGCTTATTTTTCATTGTTAAGCGTCTGTCTTCTTTCTCTTACACAGGCAGCAGCTGGACTTCAGTCATCTGGTAATTATAAAAATAGAATATGTTCTATTGTTAATACTGTTCTCTGTTGCATATTTATTTTGGCATCTCTCTGACGATATGTACACAATATTGAGGTACTACCTGAGGCATTGTTAAAGATTAAAATCTTTACCATTAAAATACTAATAATTATATTGAATGCTTAAAAGCTAAATTCAAGACAGACTTGACAGACAAAAATGTGAAGATAATGTATGAATGTGGTTATGAATATGTTAAGTCGATGATAGGGTCACCAACTTCCCATACCTTAAGTTTTTATGTTTGTGAACATTGTTCTGGCAATGGTAAATTAGATTTTTGACAGAATTAAATAATGGCTTGGGAAATTAAATGTTTTGTTTTCTGCTCCAACAGATCATTTGGTGATGTTTGCCTTATCAGGAGATGCTATTACTTTGCCATGCAGCATACCTTCTATTAAATCCTGCTCCTCTATTGACTGGAACATGGCTGAAATGTTTGGTGCAGTTACTAAGGTGGTGACAGCTGGAAGGGTAACTGCTCCAAACTCCCTCAGGCTTGGCTTACTAAAGGACTGCTCTCTGGAGATTAATCCCCTGGTACTCGATGATGCACGACTTTACTCTTGTGACAGTGGAGCACTCAATTCAAGTGTTTCGCTCCAGATTCTTGAGCGTAAGTGACTTGTCCTGGTACCTCAAACCATTCCTGAATAACCTTATGAGTATATCACAGTAGTCACATGATTTTTTTTTCATTCACCAGTTACTGAAAGACGAACTCCTGCAGACGACACAATAGAGCTTCAGTGTTTCCTCAATACATACAAAGGACATGTTGCTTGTAACAACAGAGGGATACATATTAAATGGAGTACTGAAGATAATACACCATTAAATGGAAATAGATTTCACTTTGAAACAGACTCTGAATGCTTCTCTAAACTGATCATCAAAAAAAGACTGACAGACCATCACAGAAAATGGAAATGCCAGCTAACTCAGAATGACACTTTTAAAGCTGCTATCAGTTATACAACAACAGTTAAAGGTACTAAACACCACTTGTAGCATACTCCAAATGAAAGATGTGGTTTAAGATGTACAAAGTGTAATCAGCGCTTCCTTTCCCCTAGATGGCATAGAGGAAGTGTTTGCTGCAGTGGGTGAGTCAGTGTCACTCTCTTGCAGCAGTACTTCCTCTCTTGGTATTGGCGGCAGAGTGGAGTGGACTGTGGAAGGAAGGGCACTGACAGACCATATCTCACCAGCTCTCTCACCTTATAAAGGCCAAACTGGGCCATTCCACGAGAGTAAAGACTCATCACTGGTCATTAGCAGAGTGAGTGCTCTGCATGCTGGGGACTACCAGTGTTCAGAGTCCAATGGTCAGCAAAAGGTGTTCAACAAAATCAAGCTGCACACCCTCGATGGTGAGTGTTAAAACTCACTAAGTGCCAAAACAGAGCATGAATTGTGCTACATTTACTTTGCATCACTGCTGTTAAAACATTTCCTCTGATGTTTGTCTTTACAGTTATTTCAGAGGGCTGGTCAGGGGGAGATAATGTCACCTTGACTTGTGTGCTCACCTGCGCTAAAGAATGTGAAAAATACTTCAATTTAACTTGGTCTGTGAGAGGCCACAATAGCTGGCAGAGCAGTTTAATGACTGACAATAACATTCTCATAAACAGACTATTTCTACCAGTTTCGTCAATGACATCAGATGAATTAACCTGCTTTGCGCATAGAGAGGGTGATGTGGTGGCATCAAAGAAGTGGCACACTGTAAACTGTAAGTATGCATCATGCAATTGTTGCTTTTTTTCTCTGAATAAAACCCACGTATAAGACAAAATACACCCTTGTTTCAGAGTAAAGAGAAGGAAAGTTATAATAATTTAATGTCTACAGTTCTGAAAACACCTGCGTGGTTAGCCCTTCCTCTAGGGCTCTTGACATGTATAGCTGCCGGAGGACTCTATGTGTACATGAAGAGGAAGCACAACAAGGATGCAGGTACTGAATCTGGTTAAGGAACCACACTTCCAACCTACACTATAACTACTGTATTAAAAAAAATTAATAATACCCAAATGACTGGTGTTGTCCTACATTTCTGTTTGCAGGAAATGAACAGTCAAGCATTGAAATGGTAAGAAGAGACAAAATATAAGTGTGCTAAAACATCTGCTTTACTTTTGATCTTTCTTATTGTCAAGCTTATACATCCTAATGTAATAACTCCGTTATTCCTATTTACAGACTCATGTTTATGAGGACATTCAGGATGCAAATGATGAGGAACAACACCAGCAAAGACAACCCAAAAGAGAAGCTGTAACAACCACTGACAGTTTCTATGATTTATTACAGGTTGTAAACTAAAGCTAAATAAAAGTGTTCTCTCGATGTAAACTATAATTTCAACCATCAATAGACTAAAAATAAAGACAGAAAAATAGATAAGTGTTAGTGACTCATTCGACATGATTATCATATCAATCATCTTACATATGTTTATTCAAATTGGATAAAAAATAATTGTTTTAAACATGTCACGATTTCATTTAAAATATTAAAGATGGTTATATATGTGAATACAAACAGGGTAATAAGGAATTGTCTTTCCAATAGTCTAAGAAAAAAGAGTCTGTGGCATTATCCATGTTGCTCACTATACAGCAAGTCAGTCACTCTTCCTCACAAGACACTTAACAGGTGAGTAGATGTTTTTACACAATGCATAAATGCAAGCAGGCTATCCAGATAAGACAGTAAAGAAAATCTTCCTCTTGAACAGACTGGAAAGGATTAATAATGGACTGCAATGAAGGAGAGAAATTTGTTATTTGGCTATTTCAACATGACGAGAATTAAAGTATGGATTCATAATAGTATCACTACTTACAAGTACACATGCTTTCATCCTGGACTTGCTGGTATAGACTGTTGACTCGTTGGTTCGCACAATCTGTAAGGATAAGATTAAAACCATGTCAGTGTAAACGAAGCAGGAAAGGTCACTATGGCTGGACTAATAAATGTAGTGAAATAATGAAGGGGTGCTCACCCTGTGAACATGGAAGACCCACATCCTCATAACCACCAGTGTCTATAGCAGCAGCTGAATAAAAACAGAACACAAAGCTATGACAGCATCACTACACTGCATTGCCATCCGAATTAAAAATAGCTTCCAGACACAAACCTGGTGGGTGCCACGGGGTGTTGCGCCTGCGGTAAATGAATAATCCTATCAGCGTAGCAATTGTGGCAGTCCCAATGATGACTGAAGCCACAATGGCAATAACTGTCCCACTGCTCCCTTCCTCCTTGGTTTCCCAAATAATCTCCCCTGTTGTCAGTGCTAAGGAAGATAGGAAGCAAATCTATGCAATTACAACACCACATTTAACAGGACGTTAATTGATGATGCAATTGAATTAAGATTTAAAATATTTAAAGAGGTAGTTTTTTTTATTATACCTGAAACTGTTGTAGGCTCAACATTTTCCACTTCATGAAAAAAAAGAAAAGGTACTTAGGACTTAAAATTGTTTCCAATGTAATTTCAAATGGTTTAATCTTACCTTGGACCAGTAGATTAATGTCAAAGCAGCGCTGAGTTTGTCCAATCATGTACTTGCATCTGTACCAAGCACTGTCATTGGCATTCACAGACTGGATAGTTAATGATGTCCCAGTCATTTCAAACCTTTCAGTGTTGACTGTTGCAGGGTTGCCTCCTTTCAGCATCACCCAGGAGATGTTTTCGGATCCTTGTTGTCCTGATGTTATGTTCACTGGGCAGTTCAGGTAAACAGGTGTGCTGGGCGCTGCCTTTACTGCTTGAAGGGTTTTGCATTCTGAAAGAGGGGACTTTAATGTTATATAATTAATATTTTATTTGTAAAAGAATGAGAATGAGGAGAAAATAATGTGTAGCCTAATCTTACCTCTCATTTTCAAAGATATGTTTTTGACAAGTATGCAGTCCCAGCCTACCCAGACTTCACAGCTGTACAGTCCCTCGTCAGATTTTTGCAATTTTGTCAGCAAAAAAGACATTTGGCCATTTCCACCAGATCCCCATTTAATGCGTTTAGCATCCTGGATCTTGGGTGTTTCAGGCCTGGCAAAGATTACCTTCATCTGACTGGCATCTGCGGCATACTTTATCAATTTGACTCTGTAGCAGCTCCCTGGATTCATCAAACTAGAATTAAAACAAGGGAGAGCTACATCCTCTTCTTGAGTAGCAGCAACAACCTGGATCTCTGCGTAGCTGTCTTTGAAATGACAAGAGAGAAGAATAAGACTCAGGGTACTTATCATTTCAAGGGTTTATAGATAGTGTACAGTAAAACATTCAGCATTAGAAATGTGAGGTCCATAATTCAAGATCATAAGTGATCTCAAGTGACTTAAAGAAAAGAAAACACATTTAAGATATTCATTGTTACAATCTGGTAAAGACATTACTCAATGACCTACTCACCTCTGCACTCTGATATGACTAATAACAGAACTAACAGCAGGAGACGCAGTGCCATTTTCTGTGTGTTTTAGCTGTGTGGAGGGACAAAAGATTATTCTCTTATAAACTTTTTTTGTCTCCACCTAGTCTCAGTTCTCCAAGTTACACAGAAGTCTCAATATGAAACTACATGTACAATCATTCGTCGTTTCATTTACCTTATTAAGTGGCCAACAGAGCCACCATGTGGCAAGAACAGCACATTACACCAAATTGACTAATGGCCATGAGAGCAAAATTCCTTGTCAAGTTATTTATTGAAGTCATAATTAAATGTGAGTGGAGAAAGTGCTGCTCCAGTGCAGCTGCACAGCGGCTGGCAGACCTGACTGTGGCTGTTCTGGGCAGCTTCCAGTTGTGCGTGTATGTAACAGGAGTGTGAACGGGGCCTTCCTGAAAAAGAAAAACCTCACCCTTAGTAAAACTTTCCTGAATAATAAAACTTTGCAAAACTATATGGTTTTTTTTTCAAACCTGCCTCATAAGCAGATTATTTCTGCAGAGTAATGTGTATTTATCTATGTGCTGTATCACTCTTCCTTCCTTAATTGAAATGTCATCGTATTTTTACACTAGTTGAGACGCATCACTTTTGAGACACATCCCTTTCTCATGTTTACTGTATCAGAGCTTATACACCTGACTGAGCCCATCCTGGCCGTTACATAGCAGGTATCCTGTATGCAAACTTCTCTTATTGAGCAATACAACAGTGCTTTTCCACACTATGTCTGGTGAAATGCAGGCTCTGTGTGTGAATGGTATGATGTGGCATGACATGTTTGCTGCAGCCTTAAATACTACGAGGAACCTCACTAATGCTAACTGAAACTTTGTAACTTCACTTCCTCCTGTTGCTCAGAATATACAGAAACGCCATCATAGCTTTTCACACACTCAGAGTTACTTTCACATGCAGGCTCTCGGCACTGTGCACAGAAATGGACGACACTGCTCAAGGTTAGTTTGCCTTTTTTTCTGCCATGTCTGTTTGTCATTTGACTATATTTATAATGTCTTGTATATTATTTCACAGGAGGTAAAGCATATGGTATTTTAAAGTCTCAACAGGAAGAAAAACTGAACTCTATCAATGAGGTGAGTTGATGTCTTTGTGCCTTTGTGCATGTTTTTGTGCTACACACAAAAACATGACTCCTGTTTGATACCAATAACATAAAATCAGATTTATTGGTATTATTTAATTACCACTCCCCCAGGCTTTTCTCTCAGATCCCCAGTATGCTGAAGAGGAAGACCTTAGCTCAAAGCTTGAAATGTTTAAACGTGAGTATTCAAGGGCTACCAATCATTTTGGTAGTGATTTTAATATTTATTGCACATACATCATACATTTTGAAATGGCATTATATTTGCTTGTGTTACAGAGAAATACATGGAGTTTGATCTGAATGACAAAGGAGAAATAGGTAAAATTGCACTGGTCTTAAAGCCTTATATTTTAGACCAACATAAGCACATTTTACTTATTTACTTTAACTGTCAATATTATAGATATAATGGGATTAAAACGAATGCTGGAAAAACTCGGACTGGCCAAGACTCACTTAGAGCTGAAAAAGATGATGGCAGAGGTGGTTGGAGGGACATCGAAAGACACTATCAGCTACAATGACTTCCTGAATATGATGCTGGGCAAAAGAAACGCAATTCTAAAACTGTAAGTACTGGGTAATTCAGAGAATGGGTGAAAATCCAAAGTTGGGTTCCAGGAGCATTGGAGTTAAGGGGGGATAAAGCCACAAAATTATTCAACAATAAATAGATGGTCAAACATTTGCATGAAGCTACTTGTGATATTGATGGCCTTAAGCCTTAATCAGAAAATGTTCATATACCTAAAGTACGTAAAACAAGTGCCCAAGATATCTGATGATTGTTTAATACAAATAAAAAAAATAATCTCTATACTACAAGTGTACAGTAATGTCTTATCTATAGAAGCTGACATGCAAATTTCTTCATCACAGGATCTTGATGTTTGAAAGCAAGGGAAAGGAGCAGGAGGCTAAAGATGTTGGACCACCTCGTCGCAAAACCTTTTCAGACCTGCCCTGAAGGAGCTCTCCATCTCAGCAGGGAATGCCTGTCAATATGACTTCTTTTTTTTTCTGATTTACACATCATCTAAATGCTTTGAAATTCATGTCAATTGGAAAAAAACACACCAAACATATTGTGAATTGTGCAATTTTCAAAGAAATAATTGAATCTACACCAAATGTTTGTGCATTCTGTCTTGTGTGATTATGACCACAGTTCAGATATTCTCACATTATGAGCAACTTAATGCTTTCTAATTACTCTATGATATTGCTAGCTGCTTAGTTAAATACAAAACATAGCCAAATTATGTATGGAACCTGCATGAGAGTGGCCATTACCATGTCAGACAAAATACCACAATATATAACGTTAACAAAAACATACTACCATCACAACATTAACGTTTGAATGAAGGTCACCTAACGTTACATTATAGTTTTGCTGCAAATTCATTAAAAAGTGAATTGAAATACATGTGTATTTTGTTCCTGTTTTTACATCAAATAAACATTTAATACATATTAAGTTAACTTTCGCCAGCTGGGATTGGCTCCAGGCCCCCGCGACCCTGTACGCAGGATAAGCGGTTGGATGGATGGAAGTTAACTTTCGCTGTTGAAGCTTATGAGAACCATAGACTGTAGATGAGAACATGCGTCATGAGGAACTTCATTTTGAAAGGTCTGGTTGACCGGAAGACGTAACATTACTTCTCATCCGGGGAGCCGGGATAAACTAACATACGCTTGCAAGTTGATGTGTTAACTAATATAGAAGGGTGAGTAAAAGTGACTTTCTGTGAACATTGCTATTCACGCAGAAAGGTGCCACTTAATACATATTGCCATTACAATCACTCATGTCCGCACATCTGTGCGAGTGAACGCTAACGAACGTTAGCTTGCAAGCTAGTGCCTCGTCAAGCGCTAACGTAACGTTAGGCAGCAGGTTACAGACGCAAACTCAAGGTAAATTATATCTACAATAAAATCACATTTTTGTTCAAAGTCCCCGTGGTGAATGGGTCAGGTGGTTGCATGTATGGTGGAATAAAATGTCAAGTCGGTGTTTTGTAAAATATACATCTGTATCTGTATTAAATGCACTGCCGGTATTTAGGTGTGTTAGCCGACGTTGAGGGTGCAAAATGAACCCTGGTTTAGGGCAACACTGTTTTGATTTGTCAGGAGGATGAGCAGCTCAGAGGAGGTGTCCTGGATATCCTGGTTTTGTGGACTGAGAGGGAATGAGTTCTTCTGTGAGGTTAGTCTTACACTGGGATTTCGATGGAAGCCTCGATTTAAATTTACCACAAGTTTGCATCTCACAAAATAAAACTAACGTTAGCGTTATCCAAAATCCACAGGTAACTTATTATGTCCTTGTGCTGCAGCAACAACTGAATTTCCCTTCTGGGGATGAATAAATGCTTACCTCATCTTATCTTAGCAGTACATCTCACGTTTTTATTGCGCTGAACATATACCTGGACATTAAGACTACATTTGACACAAGTAATCATTTTGCCAGTAAGGTGTGTCATTCGGTGGTTTGACATTTTAGTGTCATAGTCAACCGCTGCCTGTTAAGCCACTTCCCTGTTTGCTACTTATCGTTTCCACTGAAGCATATGAGCCATTCTCACTCAAAAAGCACCACAGAGAGAGAGGCATGTGAAAGGAAAATCACTTAAAATAAAAATGATGGGAATTGTGTTGTAAATATAGGCATTGGTGTTTCTCACTCTGGTTTGCCAGATGGGTTAGCACTCACACAATCCAATTCTAATTTTAACTCCTTGGTTACTTCATTGGCAGCATCGAAGTAATCCTGTTAAGCTCTTATCTAATGCATTCCACATCCGTGTGCTGTAGCAATGTGCTGTTCCAACAGTAGTTAATGCCATTAATAGCTATTCATCACCTTTCAATCGTGTGTTACAGGTTGATGAAGACTACATACAGGACAAGTTTAACCTGACAGGTTTGAATGAGCAGGTGCCTCACTATCGCCAGGCTTTGGACATGATTCTTGACCTGGAGCCAGGTGAGGATATCGAGGAACTAGCAGTTCCCACGTGAAATGATATATAGTAGAGTCAACGCCTTTACTGACTAAATCATTTTGATTTGACAGATGAAGAACTTGAAGATAACCCCAATCAGAGTGACTTAATAGAGCAGGCGGCAGAGATGCTCTATGGGCTGATACATGCACGTTACATCCTCACAAACAGAGGCATTGCACAGATGGTAGGTGCTGTTACCTAACATCTTCATATTCTTGCATGCTCTGTGACGAAGATTAACAGTGATTTCTAAATATGGTGTTCTCCGCAGTTGGAAAAGTATCAACAAGGGGATTTTGGGTATTGCCCCAGAGTCTATTGTGAGAATCAGCCAATGCTTCCAATTGGTAAGTATGACTTTTCTTTACCTTCACATTAAACAGTTTCTTTCTTTTATTACACAAACCCCACGCTGCACTTTTGACCTGTGTCAGCGGCTTTGAAGACGTATCCTCCATCTCGTGTGCTGTAGGTTTGTCAGACATTCCCGGAGAAGCAATGGTGAAGCTTTATTGCCCAAAGTGCATGGATGTTTACACCCCCAAATCCTCCAGACACCACCACACAGATGGAGCCTATTTTGGGACAGGGTTCCCCCACATGCTGTTCATGGTGCACCCAGAGTATCGTCCAAAACGACCAGCCAACCAGTTTGTGCCAAGGTGTGTTTGATCTAACGCCATTGTTATTTATTGTTAGTGTAGACTTTAACTCGCAGTAACATGCCTTTTTATTAGTTTGTTTTAAGAGATTGTCGATCAAAAGACAAGTTTTCCTGAGATCTCAGTAGGGCTGGATATTGAACCTAGCTTAATACTTTCTTTTTATTATACCAACCAAAATGCGGCTTTAGCACAGAGTTTTAAAATCTGCAAAGTACTAAATGTTGGAATTGAGTTGAGTACCTGGTCAGATATGTCTTATTGTTTTTCTTATCACTTATATTTTCATTTTAGATTGTTTGTTAGGATATCTGTACCAAATCCCAGGTGTCGTATTGGCACTGGTATCAAAAAGTGTCATTCAATACTCAGCTGTTGACCTAAAAAGGAAGTGTCCAGGAAGTGATTGTATTTCTTTTTTTCCCCCCTCCTCCTGTTTTTCAGGCTATATGGTTTCAAAATTCACCCAATGGCTTATCAACTCCAACTTCAGGCTGCATCAAGTTTCAAGAGCCCAGTCAAGACCATTCGCTAAAACTCCTGGGTTAATGAAGACAGTGGACTCAAAGACTTTGTTGTTTACAGCATTGGATTATATAGTCTCAGTGAATGCCTGTACAGTTCCCCAAACCCGCCGCTGTGTTGACACTTTCAGATTCAGACATTTCCTCACATTGTTATTCTGTACAATTACAAACATGTAATGAGGGTCATTCTCCTGATACAGGTTTGAACATTAATTGTCATTGTCAGTCCATCTTTTCACATTTTAGGGTAGTTTCTCCAAGTGGCTTTAACTCTGATAATGAAAGCTACAATGTGTTTTGTTTCTTAATTGCAGGTGATTGAATGTAACAGGAAAAGTTACAGGTTTGCCTTATCAGTTATACAGTCAGTCAGATTATACTTTTCATTGACGATTGACTAATTTTAACTCGTGCTGCAGAATAGATTTTGCATGAGATTATTTTCTGTTAAAATGAAGGATTTTATTTGAAAACAGCAATATGTGCTAATATGGTCAGGTGCTATTTCCAATAAACATTGAATACAACATTGAAAGTACAAAGTAGTAGTAGTATTTTATTTTGCTGGCTATGTATGTACTTGATTGTTTGGGCAACTAACAACATTTTCTTGATAATTCTGTATTTGTAGTTTCATCATGTTTACATTATGGTAATTACTACAATCTAGACGGATGTGAGATTCTCAAAAAGAGTTTGGTCTTGATTGAACTTGTACTGTGGAACAAGTGAATCACATTAAATATCTATTTATTACCAAGATCTTATTGATACTTTTAAGTTGTATGCTTCACACACAGACAAAATGCTAAATAATGCATGTTTTATTTTTTCATAAAAAGAGGGATAAGTCACAAAGCAACATTATTTTCCATCGTCTAAAAACTATTTTCTTCAAGTGAAATTCTACATTTTCTTCCAGGAGAGGTTTGTTGTTTTTCTGTGTAGCTACAATACCAATAGCTTTGTGGGTTGAAAAAGTTTGATAAATGGTGCTACCTAAAAGGGACCTGTATATATTTTAAGCATGTTCTCTTCTAAGTAAAAGTACAGGAAACGGCAAGTGAGAGAGCAATCTACTTAGACTATGCGGTAAAAAGGCTTTACAAACTTTCTTGATAATGAATACAATATTTAACATGGTGACATCTCTAGTGGAAGCCTAGAAACCAGCTCGTGTTGAAAAACATCACAATACATCAAATCACATGAGACAGGTCCTACTTTACAAATAAATTACTGTATAGTAGAACATAAATGTAAAAAAAAAACAACTTGTGCTCCTATGAGAGAAAAGCCACATATACTGGGACAGCTGCCTTCACCTCTTACACATGGTCACTGTGACAGACAAGCCTTGTATTTACTGACCTCACTTGGCTGAACATAAATGTACATTTAAAGTTGGGGTGAATATACATATATGGACATTCCTCACACAATCAAGGAGGTCTGTAGTCTTACAAAGAATATCAAAACCTGAGATAAACAGACCAAAGCTTGTAAAACTTTCCTTATCAACCAAATATATTCAAAGAAATTATGACTTGCTACTGAACAAAACACAGGGCAGAGGGAAGCACTTCATTGTCAAATGTAAATTGTTAAATGTTAGACAAACTTGGTGGACTACAAGAGGAAACGAATAAGAATGATTCAGGATGTCAGGCAGGTTAGCAGGTCTTACAGAGATGTCAAAATCCAGTAAACAGCACAATGGTAACCTACAATTTAATGAGCAGATGGATGTGAATAACTTAAAAACCTTAAATTTGTACAAATACTATAAAATCATCAATTCTATAAAATAGTGAAATATTTCAAAATAGATCCATTTTTAATTCAAACTTTACAATAATGTGTAGGCTACCAGTTCTTGGCTGGTTAGTGAAGAAAATAATTGATGTTTTTGTACCTGAGCATTGAGCAAAACCAAACAACTGTCCAAATTTAAGCATATATTACCTTTGTTCACATATTGATGCGAGGTATGTCATTTAATTTTTTCAAAAATGTCACTCCTGAATTAAATAGACAAGTAAACAACAATAAACAAACAAACAAAAAAGTTCCCTTGAATGTAGCCTTACCGTTCCCCTAGCAGCACCAAGGGAATAAATGCTGATAATGGTGTCTAAACTAGAATGGAAACAGTACATTTGTATAAAATCAACAATGTAAAAACCATAAGGAAAATAAAAGCATTTAAAAGCAAACATAACTGAGATCACTTAACTCAAAATGCTGTTTTTTTAACCAATGGAAGTGTATTCACTAAGCTTTTTTTTTTTTTTTTTTTACACCTGGATGAGAAAAGCATTTGAAAACTGGAGCACTATGCAGCCGTCCTCTACCTACAATGAACAGCTCAATGGGGGGAAAAAAAGACAACAAAAAAAATCTACTACGATTTTTCTACTCCGTTATCCATTAGTTTAGGTGCAGATATTTCTTTTTGGATATGTGTGCGCAGATAGAGCTGGTCACTGTGTGTTGAGTACAGCCCTCTAGAAGGGATGTCAGAGGTGGAGTAAATGTGGGCGGCAATTCAGTTACAATGCTGATGCTCCGCCAACTTTCTCCTGCAAGACACATATCATGTACACTTGTATTACTCTTGAAATGAATTGATTAAGTCACAATTGTCCCATTTCTTCCTTAAATGAATAGTTTGACATTTACAATACCCTTATTTGCTTTCTTGCTGAGAGTTACAGTCAGGTCCATAAATATTGGGACATCGACACAATTCTAATCTTTTTGGCTCTGTACACCACCACAATGGATTTGAAATGAAACGAACAAGATGAGCTTTAACTGCAGACTTTCAGCTTTAATTTGAGGGTATTTACATCCAAATCAGGTGAACGGTGTAGGAATTACAACAGTTTGTATATGTGCCTCCCACTTTTTAAGGGACCAAAAGTAATGGGACAATTGGCTGCTCAGCTGTTCCATGGCCAGGTGTGTGTTATTCCCTTGCTGACCTGACTGTAGATGAGAAGATCGATCCCTTTCCCAAGTCTGTCCTTTAACTATAAAGCCTTTAACTATTAAGTATAAAGAAACAGCTAGCCTGGCTCAACGACATCACTGCTCCCAGCCAAGAACTTGTAATTTTTACTCTTGAAACAAACATACAGTAACAATATTGGTAGGCTTTTTAACTTTGGACACAACCAGGCTGGCTGTTTCTCCCCGTTTCCATTCTTTACGCTAAGCTAAGCTAAACATCTCCTGGCTTTAGCTCCACATTTACTGGACCTATTAAGAGTGGTATCAATCTTCTTGTCCAACTCTCAGCAAGAAAGCAAATCAGGGTATTTCCCAAAATGTCAAATTATTCCTTTAATATTCTGTCCATCACTGTTGTGTCTCATGGACAGAGTGTAGCAAAGAGGTTTTTTTTTACCTTCTCTTGGTCAAAGTCAGAGTCTGCAGTTATGACGATTCTCTTTTCCACACGAGTCTCCGAAGATCCGCTTTTCACCACCTGGTAGAGGGAAGAGAAAATAGAATTGAGAATTGCAAATAAAATAAATCAAAATGACATAAACAAAGAGCAAGATCATACTGCTGACCTTTGAGATGTGAGTGGTAGTGGTGGTGACTGTGGTGCCACTGGTGGCCTCTGAGGTAACAGTCTTGGAGCTGGACACAGTTGTGCCATCTTTGTCGTCTGTCCCGTCATCTGTCACCTGAGAGACCGAGAATGAGAGAATGAATTTTTTATAACGTAAACCTGAGCTCCAGCCAGGGAACGTGCAGTGCTGCCTCATATTCATTCTGGAGCCCCCTGCCTGGTCCTCCCAGACCTGTTGCTGATATCTCTTCCATGCAAACTGATTGCCTGTAACTGAGACAGATCTGGGCTGAGCAGGTGCGGGAGCCCCTACCTTTGAAGATTCATAGATGAAGGTCTTGGTTGGGACGACAGGGACCTCTGTGGTGGAGATGCCACTTGGTAAGGAGTTGGAGACAGCTGTGATGGTGACTGTCTGGGTCTGCACCAGAGGGGGCTGTGGAATGGGAGCATAGCCCCATGAGTGGCTGTTTAACCAGACACTTTGCACCTGGCAGCAACTAATTTGTTTCACACCATGCATTCCCTTCCAAACCATCGCCCGTGTGGATTGATTTTCATTGCAACAGCCCTTTCTTTTCAACAAATGTGTGTCAATTTTTCGATATTTGGAAACAACAGAATCACCTTGTTATTTCCCTTCCCGCCACCGTATGCAACAAAAGAAACAGGGAAACTGAAAATATCAAGCCATAAGTGGGTTGGAAAGAAGATGAAAGTGAAGCCAGTGTGTAAAACACGTTTTGTGGCAGAGAAGAATGTGCTAGTGTTACAGCGACCCCATCACCATAGTTGAGAACTTAGCACATCACTGTGCGACACCTCTGCAGCAACCACTTACATTTGACTATGATGAGTGTTAATTCACACCGCATTTAATATCCCACCTATACAGATTTGATTTCTAATGGTACTGCAAAGGGGTGAGAAGGTGTGTCATCCTTGAAATCACACAGAGGCCAAGCAGAGACAGAATCAGCATCACCCTGAGTGGGTCAGGAGGCTACCTGGAAGCAGCGTATGACCTGTGGACCATCGCTTCTGAAATAGGAAGCTGGGGAAGATCCAACTATCCTCCCAGAGCACTCCGACACTCCGGGATACGATCCTTCCTCCTCCAGGGTCTCATCTAAAGCTTTACAGCAGGGGTCGAGGGAGGGAGACAGCTGCGCCGTCTCCACCTCTACGATTGGCACCAAGGCGGTCTCAAAAACTACAACCTCTTCCTGGTCACTTGACTCTTCCTCAACCAGAGCACTGTGGGCTTCAACACTGTCAGGCTCACTCTTGTGGCTCAAAGTGGGACTCGGTATGCCTGAAAAGCCCAAATCGCTGCTGGTTTCCTCGTGTGCAGTCTCTGAACCATTGCAAAGGAGACTAACGCACACACTCTAAAAAAGACACAACATAGTCACTGTGTGATCCTGGGTAGGTTTCCTGCTGACATGGCATGTATAGTGACTCAGATTATAATGTATACATGTTAAAATATACAACTATGTATATAGTATGTATAGTACAGTATCCATTTTATGAGGTACTACAGCTCTGTATGAAGATGATTTTTTTGCTTATTTTAGATTTTAAAAAATCAACACCGTGTTAATGCCACAGCTTAACTAAACATTATTGCAGACCACGTATATGCCTTCATAGCCACGGCAGGTTATCAAATAAGATGGATACTGAATATAGCTATAGCTCCCTATTGTTCATTTCATCCATGAATATAATTCAGTATGCGTCAGAATGAAATGGATTCTTCTTATGCTTGAATTTTCAATTTAACTAAAAAAAACAATGAATAATGAATAATATTAAACTTAAATGACAAAATCCATTGCCCTTGAAAGGAACAAACAATGAACTGTATATGGAATGCCTTTTATTCTTTGGTCAAAGTTGATTGTCAAAAAGTCATGCAACAAAGAATGTCTTACAGTGACTACATACTGTCTTGGCAAATACTGGTGAACGACAAAGGGGTCATTAAGTATTACAGTTAAGCTGCCTCAAGGTCTCCCATCACAGGAAATACTATACTGTGACAAAGAATATTGATACTTAAAAGTATATATATCTATCTCCAAAAATCACATCACAGTGATAAGCTTATCTGAAGATAATATTCCTAGACAACCGACAATATAAATGTACCTCAAAACGTTTATAAAAGTAGACTCAAAGTGATATGGTCAACAACTAAAAACCTCCGGATAAAATTCAGTTGTTAAGTATTACTGTCTGATTGGTTGATTTATAAAGAAATCACAAAAAAATGCACAATAGTAGTGGGTTGATTGTCATTTCCGGTCCTAATCAGTCTTTGGACAACAGGTCTGTCTCTGGCTGGAGAAACCAGGTCAACTGTGCTGCAGTGGGAAACAGAAGGAATGAAAGTCTTGTTCCACAGAGGCCAGAGAGAGAGGGTTGAGAGAGAAAAAAAAAAAAAGGGGCAGCTTCTCAAGTGGAGCAGAGGATGAGAGATGACGAGTGCTACAGTGTTGTTGAAGAGGAGGCGAAGGAAAAAGGAGGAGGAGAATAAGAGAAAGCGAGAGGCTGATGGGTAGATGGACTAGGTGCGGTCTCCACGGGTCACACTCACACCTGTGTGGGATTTCCGCAGGGTTGAGACGGCCCCTCAGCTGCGTTTGGAGTAGAAGTCTAGCAGGGGGCCGCGTGGGAGGCGGATGACAAACTGAGGGGGAGGGGGAGGAGGAGGGAAGAGAGATGAGAGGGAGGAATTTTGAAATGTCGGCAATGACCGAAAATGAACTGAGCTTGTAAAAACCAGAGTTGCGGAATAACTGATTATTGAAAATATTAAATTCAGATGTAAAAGCCTGGCAAAATCCTTTAACTGAACAGAAACTGTTGTTGTACAGAGCATGGAAATGTAACTGGTGCATCCATTTTAACATGCATTTTAATATTTTTCCATGTCCAACAATACACTTTGTTTGGAAAGACAGAAAAACATCCACACTTGTTGTATCTTATTTCAAAATCGGGATGCATTTGATGCATTTTTGAGATGGAATTATCTCTGTAAGCTAAGGTCAAGTTAGCCAAGCTTGGGGATGTTAAATTGGCACTGTTAACTACCCATTACAGTGTTGTGTTTTTGAGCAGTAAATGTGATTTGATCTAGCTGGAGGCTGCTGGACGGCAACAACACTGTGAGCTTAAAAATAATCTGAAGCAACAAAATGCTGTCATAGCAGTTCACAATATCAGTAGCTTAGAACCTATAGCTGGAATCTGGCCATCCATCTGCAGCTTATTGTTAAATTAGCCCTGTCATTTTAGTCCATTCGCACTAGAGGCTGCTGTGTGTCAAACTAGCTAACCAACATTTTATGCTGTTAATGTGAATGTTTACTCCTAGAATGAGAAACTGTCTTGTAAAATTGAGCGTGCGTCCACTCCACTAGGTAGACAACATTTGACCAGTGCCATATTCTTGACTGCTTACATCAAACATTTTGTAGATTTGTTCCGATTCATCTCCTCACTACAGACTCTAAGCTGTCAGTTTCTCTTGGCTGTGATATCAGTGCGACTCTAATACATCCTGACATTTTGATGTACTCGGCAGCATTTATCTCCAAGTGTAAACGTGCTCTGTGTCCAAACAGTTAAGCTGCAATTTAGTTAATGTCTCGCCAAAAGGCATGCGAGAAGAACCTCAGTAGATTGTGTTTCTAGTCCACTGGATAGCTTCTATGTAATCTTTTTAACTACAACATAGCTGTTAAGACCAATTATATTATATTATTTTTGTATTGAAATCTTGTGAAATTTACTACAGGGACAGCGGGGTCGCTGATACAACTGTGAATGAGGCCCTGTCTCTTCATGGAATAACAACAAAGGCTTAGAGAAAGCAGCAGCCAAAAAAAAGAAAAGAAGGTAAGAGCAGTGTGAAAAGAAAGAGTGCAACGCATAAAAAAATGTTAAAAGCAGAAAGAAAGCTCATCAATGAATGAGGGACAGAGGAGAGGGGGAAAGGTCAATTCTGCTCAGTGTCAGAACGTGCACAAACTCAAGAAAGGGTCATCTCTGAGTCATGCAGTAAACTTTCAACGTCAGGTCCGTCAGTCATGCGATACGAACATGTCACCGTTGAGAGGCATCCATTGCAGACAGGATGAACCAAAGTGAGTTCTCAGAGAGTTGATAACATGTCCTAAAGATGTCTCGCCCACATCAGTCTTTTAAGTGAAAAAAAGTAAAGAACCTATTCAACAAGTCCAACTGCATTCTTCATTCACATGCATGTGTTGCATAAAACATTCCATAGGTCTTTACATGCACACACAATCCATTTACACTAAAGATTGTAAGACAACCAGAAATGACAACTGGAAGAGCCTGATCCCATCTTCTATTAATTTGTTTCGTTTAAACATATTTATCATAATCAAAAAAAGAATATGATCGAATGCAGAGGGTTAATTTTTTAAATTACACAAACTTTAAAATGACTCAAACACAAGGCGTCAGCAAGAATTTCAGGTTCTTCTGTTCCATAACAAATCCATGCACACTGCATTAATCTCCAAAACTGCAGAGCCTTGGAAACCAAATGCGATGACCTTTGTATAAATGCAGCTTTAACCAAGTCAATTCAGGAAATGTTTTCTAATTAAATATGCTTTATTCGCTCCGATTCCTGAACTGACAGACTTAAAATGGTAAATCAACTAAAAAGCATTTGGTGGCGAGTGTTTTCTGTGGGAGACCTACCCCATCTGCACTGGGCAGAGGCTGACCATTGATCCCCAGGGTGCGGAACGGGGAGTGTGTGGACAGGCGCTTGTCCCACTCACTGGGCCTCTGCTGCGGGACGGATTCCATGAAGTTCCTCTTCAACTCACTGATACTGGCATGATGCTTGAGCAAGTCCTCCTGGGGCTTATCGAACTCCTATACGGAGGGAAGGACAGCGGGAAGGCCGCCGGGAAGAGGGTGCCGGGAAATTTGACAGAGGCAAGTGAAGATAGATGGTGAAAGTTGGAGGGGAAGGGAAAATGAAGGATATGTTTGTAGTTGGGAGAAATTAACAAATAGGAGAGAATAAAGAAAAAAAAGTTAGATTATTTTGCTTTATGCTGATTCTGTACAATTTGTGTTGACTTATTGCAGCTTTAAAAAACAAGCAGAAGCGGCGTTAATTAGTGATTCTAAAGGACCATAAATTAAACGGGGTCATTAATCTAGATGATCATACTATGTGGATTCTTGATAAATTATTATTTACAAAATGAAAATCAAGTCTGCCAGCTGATTCATGAGACCAGACTTCAGTTTATAAAGGAGAGGTTCAGAGGTAGTGCCAGGATCTATCAAATCGATTAGTATTTGGAGTTTGGATGGGCAGTGGCTATAAATTATACAGCACAGCATTGAGGGACTATTTCATAGCATTAGGCGTGCGGTGACATCGCGTCGTGAACACAGGCTGCAAATCAAAGAGCAGTACAGGCGACAATAACAGACATGGTACAAGCTGTCAAAGGTGACTTTCGTTTAACTGTTCATTTAACACAAATGAACAAAAGCAACAGTAGCAGCACTGATTTGGCAACATTTAGCACCAAGTTGATCTTTATCACATGGTGTTATAGCCAATGAACAGAAGTGTTTGTTAACTGTTTATTATGACTTACTGTGGTGCTAAAGAGCAACTTAATGATAAGTGTTTCTCCAAATACAATTCCTTTACGTATATAAGAGCAAAGACGTTTAATTATTTAGATTTTCATCTGTATGGTCAAAAATTGCCAATTACATAACTGCTGTGAAAGTGCAATGCATTACTGGCAGGTTAGAAAATGAGAAAGAACAAAAGCAGGATAAGGAGAATACTGATGATCTGGGGGGGGGAATGGAGTAGCTTGTGATTCCTGGCTAGAAGAATGAAAAACAGTCTAGAAAAGCTCTGGCTGTCCCTGATTATCTTAAGCCTTAGCTCATCCACCACATCACAGGGCTGACCATTACGGACAGTTTAAAGATGCTATGGAGTGAAGCATCCTTAACAAGCAAGTACCAATGCAAGTGTAAGAATCCTGACCATAATCCAATACTTGGTGTAAGTTCAACACCATACCACATGCAAGCGTGTTGTTAAACAGCAGACACTGTGCCAAAGAGCAAGAAAATACAAGATAGAGACAGACATCTCCAGAAGGGATACAAACCTCCAACATTAAAAGGCTATGTCTGACATAAATTGAGTCACCCTCAATTTTCTTAGCTCTTTTCTGTGAAAAATAAAAAGAACAAAAGAGTGTGGGTTTGTTTGAGTTTCCCTGTGTGCTGGCATTAACCTGCCACACCTAAGGACATGCATGCTACGAAATTCACTACAGTGTTAATACAACAGACAAAGAGAGCTGTGATGAGTCTGCATGCAAAACAGTTTGAGCTTAGAGACCATAGGGGCCGAACTGCAATGTACTAACAAAGAGACATGACAGAAATGTGATACAACACCAGTTATCATGCCACTTTTTTGTAAAGTGCATTTAATCTATAATCATGCATGTGTGCATTCCAGGGTTTACAACAACAGCAAGCAATGAGAACAAATAAACGCCTTTTAAACTTTTAAACAGCTAATATATGTAAAAACATATAAGCATAGTCACATTATAATGAAGTTACACTATTCTATTAACAGTTACTGTTTACATATTCCATCTATTCTTGCACTTATCTACCTCTTAAAATATACTGTATGTGCATCGAACCTGATGTGGATTTCATTTAAGACCTAGCAGTATGGAAAGCACATGAGAAGAGGGTGAAATTAGTCTTTTGGATGAGAAGGTCGATATCATCAGAATGGAGGTGGAGAAAAGGCTACGGAAACGTATTTGAGGCTAAGACTCTGACCTTTCGCATACGCACCACCTCCGTGCTCACCGCCTGAGACTCGTGCTACCCCAGGGAGGAGAGAGGGACACACATTAGCATCCTCTGCTTGTTGGCCTTAACACTCACATGTGAGGGGCGACATGCAAGCGGCCAGACACTAACCTGAATGTCCCCATTGATGGTGGATATCAGTGAAGAGTCTACTTCTCTGTGGTCCCTCCACACTGCTGGCTACAGCAGCAAGAGAGACACAGTTCACACTCAGACAGAGAGAACAATCTCTGCTCACTACTTTTATTCATATATTTTATTATTAAAGACTATGAAACAATTTAATTTGAAAGTTGTTTATATTTTATAGTTATTATCTTTATCATCTATAATTAAAATATCCAGGCAATCACTGAGGACACATAATTTGTTATCTTTCACTGGAACCAGCTATCCTGTAAGGCAATATGATTTACATATAATGATACATTTTTGTTGCACATAGACCTTAGCTTAAATGACATCACAAACGTGTAAAATAGTGATCAGAGAAATTATAAATACCTTGACCTCAGTCACAGCCTCGATTTTTGATGGCTCCACAGCTTCTACAGTGACCTCCAGCTTTCTTTCCTCCTTGCGGTCGGTCTTGATTGGAGTGGAGGTCTGGGGCTGATCGAAAGGGGCCATGGGGATCCCAGCCTCTGCCAGAGCAGCCTGGGAGAAGACCGGAGCACTGACAGGACGGGTGCCCCTCTGTGCACTCACCACTAGACAAAATACAGACAGAATGCAAACATGAATAAAAGAAAATATGTTTTAGCACCACGTGTTATGGAGGGATAAACTTCTATGCACACTGAAACAGATATTAACATATAAAGAGAGTCACACATAATAGCGCATTTATGCAAGTACTTACAGTCTGGCGCCGGATATGTGATCGAATAATTGCACATACTGTAGCGGTATACTGTACCTCGTTTAGTCTCTTTTAAAAGTCACACATCAGAGCCTGAAGTGGGCCAGAAGCGAATATCCACAAAGTGGAATGAAAGCAGAAGCGTGGATTAGTTCTTGTTGCGATGTGATGATCGATGCAAAAGCAGATAATGTTAGGCTGCAAGGAGCTACAAAGCTCAATGTGGTTGAACTGGTGAAACAGAGATAAGAGAGCGCCATTTCTTCAATCTGCACGGTCAGACATCCTTGAATAATGGTGGACGTGCCATTTGTGGACACATTCTCTTGTGATAAGTATGTAAAACGGTCTGCAAATGTTAATGAGCGTTTCATGGAGCGAAGAGAGCGTGACCATGTGCGAAGCTGTTCATCTGCAAACCAACAAACCCAAACAGGTAAACAACTACCTGACTGTTTGAGGCCAACATCTAGTAGAACAAACCAATCATCACTGATATGCGTTTCTGGGAGTGGACGTCTTTCCTCCCGGATCCGTTTCTCAAACTGCGGTCTCATCTCGGAAATAGCGATCCTTGTTTTGGCCACAGCAGCAGGAGCTCTCGCCTTTGCTGGCAACTGGATGCGCTCAGGGACAGCGACTAGTACAAATACACAGCCAGGTATTATTGTGGAAATTAAGTACAAAATATTAGGACACTTAAATTTACAGTGAAATAGACAGCCTAGCAACAAACTCAATGTCTGTATGTGTAGCTGAACTAAATCATTTTGATTATACCTGATTTCTTAGTGGCCATGTCCAAAAGAGTATACCAATCATCTTCCACCTCTCTCATTGCTGGATGCGGTTTCTGCTGTACCACCTTCTCCTGCTGCCACATTTCCTCCACTATAGTAACTCTCTGCTGTGCTCTCTGCTCTATGGCTGAAAACTCTTTAGCTGGTCTTACTTCAGGATGCACACGGATACGCTGGTCCGCAGTCACTAATGCAGGATACACACAAAGCCTACTCAGTCAGAACTCAAGCCCACTTAAACATATTCTGGGGTTAAATATATAATACACACAAACTGTAAAAGGCACACACACAGATGCCATGTTATTCAGTCAGATTCCATCTCAAAGCCACACATAAAACAGCAGAATACCTGGTGCTTTCACTGCAACATTTAGCAGCCCAAGCCAGTCATCATCCACCTGTCTCGGATGTGGTGGTGTAATCTCCACCAACTTCATAGGCGGCCTCATGTCTTCCAGGATGAATTTTGGTTTTGGTTCTGTGGCTGCCACCACACCCACAATACGCTCAACCACAGCAGCTAACATAGAAAAATATGTGTAAATAAATCTGTTGCAAAAGTATTTTATTTATTGCTGGAGCCATTTAAGGTTTAAAGCAAATGAAAAAGCATCAAGTGTGCATGCAGTCCAGCTTATTAACCACCACTTAATTGAACTTTTTTTTTAGCACAGTGTATGCAGACCCTTTGGCAATGAAAGGTACCTGGCGGTATGACAACAGGCTTTTCACGGATGACGTCGAACATAACAAACCAATCATCGCCGCCTCCTCTCTCAGACGGTGGTGCAGTTTGGCTAGGTCTAATTTCAGACAGACGCGTCTCATCCTGCCTGCTCTCTGCACCAATTATCATCTTCTTCCATATTCTAGTCTCTGTGGGCGTCACCTCAGCCTCAAACATCTTCTGCACATCTGGAATAATCTCAAAAGGAATGACTGGCACAAACAGAGAAAGAGTCAAAGAAGCTGAGTGACATCCATATATCCACCAAAAACAAATGTTTGACCCTCAAGTGAGTTAAAAAGCTGCAGAAATGTAACAACTGGCAAGATATTTGAAGGCTGTGGGTAGCTGGACACACGCACATTTTCTCTGGGAACAACATCTAGCAGAAAAAAACAGTCATCACCTCTTTCTCTGACTGGCTGAGACATTTTCTGCTCTGGGATAATTTGCTTGGGAAGCTCCTTGTCCTCTTTCCACACCACAGTCTCTTCAACTCCAACCTTCTTCCTGGACTCTACTGTTATTGTTTCGGCCATAGTAGAAATGCTTTCTTCAGGATAAACCTGAACGTACTCTGCCATGGTAACTAGTGACAAACACAATGAATGAGTATTATAAGACACTTATAATAAGCCTGTAAGTCTTTTTGGTGGGACTGGAGGGAATATTGACAATACCTGGCACAAATGATGGTTCTCTAGCAGGAACATCCAGCAGCACAAACCAGTCATCTTCTATCTCTCTCATAGCCTGTGAAACTGCTACAACTTGCTTTTCACTCTGGATTTCTGTTATTTCAGTGTCTGCTACTACCACCTCCACTCTTTTTTCTCTCCACTCAATGGTTGTTACTTCAACTAGAGAGACACGTTCTTCTTGAGACACTTCCACATGCTCTGCAACAACTAAGAGAAAAGAGATAAAAATTCTCAGACACTATGGACAGTACAGGAGATTTAGGGATAAGAGCGTCTGCAAAGCTCAGGATAATTGCTTGCTTTGATAAAGCTGTGCAGCAGTACAGGAATAAGTTTAACAGTACCTGGTGGTACATATGTTGTTTCTCTGGGAACAACATCCAGCAACACAAACCAGTCGTCAACTCTGTCTGACGCTGGCTGCTGTGGGACTTCTTCTAGGTGTCTTGGTGCCTCTTCTGTTATCTTCCTCTCTTCAGCTACTACTACTCTTATTGTCTTATCGGTTGCAGTTCCAACCACAGAGACAAAACTTTCCGCATCCATTGGGTCTCTTCCCTTCAACATAACTGATGTGAGTAAAGTCAGGAGAAAGTCTTTTCACACAAGCAGTAACACACACTTACTTTATATAAGCAAGAAAGCACAATAGTGAGCACAAGAGAGCCAACGTTGTTTTAAAAAAAGCAATACCTGGTGGTACATATGATGTTCCTCTGGGAACAACATCCAGCAACACAAACCAGTCATCATCTCTGTCTGTCACCGGCTGCTGTGGGATTTCTTCTAGGTGTCTTGGTGCCTCTTCTATTAACTTTCTCTCTTCAGCTACTACTTCTCTAATTGCCTCATCGGCTGCAGTTCCAACCACTGAGACCAAACTTGCTGCATCCATTGGGTCTCTTCCCTTCAACGTAACTGATGTGAGTAAAGTCAGGAGAAAGTCTTAAAACACAATCAGTAACACACACTTTTATATTAGCAAGAAAGTACAAAAGAACCAAAGTTGTTGTTTTTTGTTGAAAAACAGTACCTGGTGGTACATAAGGCGTTTGTCTGGGAATAACATCCAGCAACACAAACCAGTCATCAGCCCTGTCTGTGATGGTCTGTGATGGTGGTGGGATCTCTGGTACACGCCATGCTTCCTCTTCTCTTATTTCTCCTTCTTCTACTATAATCTCTGTTTTCTCCTCAACTGTTGTAATCTCAGTTGTTGAGGTGAAATACTCGCCTTCATCCACCTGAGCACGTTCCACAGTGGTAACTAAAGATGACAGTAAAGACACATAATCTTTGATTGTGGGGGCAAACAAGCCCGCAGGTACATGAACTCATTGTCTGTAAATGAGGTTTGAGAGGAATGCTCTGTGTAGGTCAGTCCGTTTCAACTCAATGGATGATATTTTTTTATATGATTATTACAAAAAAAATCATGGATACACCAGAAAACAAAAGCTATGGCTATTTCTGAGGTTGTGCTATCAATATTCTTACCCCTTTTGCACCATTAGAACATCTACGCCAAGCACATTTTTTATGTCTGCTATGCTATCATTACTTTCCTTCCACTGCGTCCACCTGAATATAACCCAGAACTAAACCCAGTGCAGACTGCCTTTTTATAAATATATAATTATATTTATAAGAGAAAGGAAAACTTTTGCACTTATTTCAGCTTCCCATTCAAAGGTCCAGTATGTAATATTTAGGAGGATCTAGTGACAGAAATGCAATATAATATACATACAATTATGTTTTCAGTGGTGTATAAAGACCTTACATAATGAGCCGTTATTTCTTTATTACCATAGACCACCTTTTCGTCACTACGTCGAAAACGTATGAAGAAGGAAGAAGAAGAGGTTGTAATAATAATAATAATAATAATAATAATAATAATAATAATAATCCTTATTTGCAGAGCACTTTTCAAAAACAAGTTACAAAGTGCTTTAACAAGTGTAAAGAATAATACAAAAAACAATACAAAAATTAATATAAAATTAGTAAAATACAATAAAATAAAAGGGATAAAATAAAGTCAAATAAGATCGGGAAAAGCTCTCCTATAAAAGTATGTTTTAAGAAGGGACTTAAAAGAGTTCACTGACTCAGCCGACCTGATTTCCTCGGGCAGGCTGTTCCAGAGCCTCGGGGCCCTGACAGCAAATGCTCTGTCCCCTTTAGTTTTCAGTCGAGACTCTGGAACAGACAACAGACCTCTGCCCGAGGATCTCAAGGTACGTGCTGGTGCGTATGGGACTAAAAGGTCAGAAATATAACAAGGCGAGAGGCCATGAAGAGCTTTAAAAGTGATCAATAGAATTTTAAATTCAATTCTAAAACATACTGGGAGCCAGTCTAATGAAGCTAAAATAGGAGTAATGTGGTCATAAGGTTGTAGTAGTAGTAGTCGTCGTCTGCTTCATTAGAAGTAAGAAGAGACATGAAATTTGGACAAGTGGAGGATGACACGTATTATTTTGCACAAGAGCCACCACCGTAGCTCCTTTTACGCGCTTGGACAGGGATGGGTGAGCAGTGAAATCGCAACCCTTACTACTAGATGCTACTAAAACTTACACACTGAACCTTTAATTTAAAGGTAAAAATTTTTGGACTCACTTTGGGACTGTTCAATTGCTAATGTTAATAGTACTCAAAAAATTATTAGTATTAGATTATAATACTAGAGAGAATAGTAGAGGTGTAAAGCTGTTTGCACAATAACATACTGTACCTGGTGGTTTATAAACAGCTTTGTATGGAGGTCGGTCGAAAAGTATGAACCAGACATCCTTATCTGCCACCTGAGATGGATCCTCAGCCTGAAGCCTCTCTGTAGCTTTTCTCTGAGTTATGTAGCCTGGTATTTCTGTCTCATGCCATGCTCCTCCTTTTTCTAGCGTCTCCTCTGATATTCCACCAGACTGTACCTGCCCATCTTCCATTTCTTCCTGCCTCGGCACTCTCTCTTCTACAATAGTCACTATCTTCTTAGTCCTGCGCTCAACCTTCTGGTATGCTACTACAGAGCTGGTACCGCCAACATCCGACATCTTCTCCTCCACCTCGTCTTGCCATTCCTTTTCCATCTGCCGTAGCTTCTCTCTCAGGCCATCATCCAACTGACTTTCGTCTGTCCCCTCTTTTTCACTCTTCTGCATCACCTCAGCTACTTCCTCTTCAAGCAACAAGCCTTTTAGAAACACCCGCTTTATCTGCTCTTCCAGTTCATCCACTTCATCCTCGTTTGCCTCTATTCTCCTCACAGATTTCTTCACCACTCTTTCAGTCATACCTTCAACTTGTTGTTCATGCTTCAAATCTCCCTCTTCTTCTCTTAACTTATCTACCTCTTCCTTACCTAATTCCTCTTCTATTACTCCCTGAATTCTCTCTGCCATCTCATCCACTTCTTGGAGCCTTTCCTCTAAATCCTTCACTTTGCTCAGCCTCCTTTCCAAAATATCTGCCTCTGTCAGCATGTCTACCAAGATCACACTTTCCTGCAGCCTCTTAATAATCTCTGTTCTGGTTTGTTCCTGCTCTACCACATGCATGCCCTGCTCATCCTTCTCTTGGAGCTGGAACAGAGCTAGGGGGGAGACTGGGAGTGAAGGGGGAAGTAAAACAATTAGCCAGGGATGGAACTAGAGTTTGATTCATACTGCAGGCTGTTTCAGGGTTTTTGTATTTCTGTTCAAATTACAAGAAAATTTTGCAGGTCATTTTTCCACACAAAAGAAACTCACATGTTTTATCAGCACACTCAAGTGAGGATAAGCTGAAGATTCGGTCAAAGTAAAGGAACCAGTCATCTTGCTGTGTCTGGGCTGGTTGAAATAGCCTGTCCATAGAGCTCATTTTTGCCAGGCTGATCTTAGCTGACAACATCAGAGAAACAATGCTGAATAATTTCATACCAGATGAGCAAATCTCAAACTGCAAATGCTTGAAAACGAGGAACAGAATAGTACCGTTGTGCTTGGCTTTAAGAAGCCTTTGAGAATAATGCAATTTAGATGCATGTTCTTTAAAATCCAAGCCAAAGTGAACGATAAAGAGATTCTGGGTTCAGATGTTCTTATACAAACTGCAGAATAACCAGTGGCAGGCTTTAGAAATGCAAATACCTGGCTGTTTCACAGAATCAAAAGGTGGGACAAAGGGAAAAGGAGGATGACGATAGAGCAGGGCAGACCACTCGTCTTCCTTTCTACTTTCGTCAGATGCCAGCTCCTGCCACGGCTGACTTGCTGTCTGGGTGATGGTTTCAGAGCAAGTCTGCCCAGTCTCAGTGTCCTGCCAGGTTACTGTGACTGTGTGAACAGACTGCCCCTCCTCCCAGGACTGAATGAAAGGCTGCTCAGACTCCCCTCTGGCTGCAAAGAGATTACGAGGTGATGGCAGTTATGTAATGGTTCTGCTGGACAGATGACGGCCACTATGAATGCTTCACAGTGCTTCAAGCGTGTCTTTGAACAAAGCCAGATGCCAAGCATTTGTGCCAGAATATCCAGTCCACTAAGGTTAGTGCAAAGCTGAATGAAAGATGCCCCCCATCCTTCAGGACAAAAACTGATTTAAAAAAAAAAGGGCAAAACTGGCAATTACATTTTTAGTTTTTAAAGTTCCAGCTTCATCCTGTTTTAATGACAGCCACTGGAGCGGTGATGAGTGAGTCAGTCTGTTAAGTTGGTCAACATAAAAAGTACAAGCAAATGAAAGCCACTGTGCCACACACATCAAGCAGCAACTTCGGTAAATGCCAAACAAATAAAGAATTTCAGCCTTAAGACTTGAAATGTCTGAGTAGTTAAGCGCATAAGGAAACTTATTTTTCCACGAAGGCCAAAGATACCCTGGGATCATGCCAGGGAAAGTGCAAGGTGGGTGAAATTACCCATGTAAAAGTAAGTCAATGTTCTGACAAGTTAACCATGTGTGCTGACACAATCTTTTCAATGAGCCAAAACAGATGAGTTGAGTAATGTTAAATGATGTGATAAGGCTGTTTGCAAGCGAGAATAAAAATTTTTTTAAAATCCTGCAAATATGCCAAAAAGCGCTGGTGCAGCTCCACACAGTGGTACCTGGGAATTCAGGAGAAAGCTGGGGTTTGTCAGATGCAAGCCTCAGCGACCAATCATCAAACTCAGGCCTGGATGATGCTGAGAGTTGTTGCAGGAGCTGGAGAGTTTCATCTCCAGCTGCAAGAACGTAACAAGTCAAAGCGTAGCTTAGCGAAATGGTCGCTTTTGTTACAAGATCCAAGCGTGATACAGTGATTCCAACTTGGGTTCACACACATACCTCCATCTAGGTTACGTGACAGCCTCTTGCTCGCAGAGCGTGTGAAGCGTGGGGCTGGGCGGTCAATCATGGAGCTGGCCTGGCGGGTCTGGGCCTGAGTACGCCCGCTGTATCTGAACTTAGAGCCCAAGACAAGGAAGCGACGTGATGAGGGAGGCTCTACTGTTGGAACCCTGAGGGAAAAAAACATTCATTTTATTTTTATCCACCCACAATTTAATACAATTGACAATTTCAAAGTGACAGACCCACATACCAGGAGTTTAAATGTAAACTATATCATATCACATCAAAAGACTTTTTCCTAAAACAGTCTAATTGTTACACAGCAAGGTTTGCAACAACTTTGACCTTTATCTCATTAAGTAGACAAAACCTTTGAGGTTTAATTCTAAAGTCAGGGCCATGGGCATGTAGCTTTTCCTCTGTGGTGAAACTGCCAGGGAGCCAATATAAGGCTTAAGCTGCAGAGACCAGTTAGCCAATTATCTAGGGGACAGGCCGAACCCGAGAATAACCTCTGTTGCCAAGCAGGAAAGTGTCTTTCAGAATAATACCCGGTCTTACCTGAAGAACGTATGGTGTTCAACACAAACTTTCCACAGCTTCTTCGAGGCTTTGTAGTTGGGCAGTTTAAAGCCAATTGTGCTTTCATACTGCTCTTGCTGTAGGTGAAGAAGAAAGTCAAAGTTGAATTATAATGACCTTATGTTGACATTATTCCACACAGCAGCATGAAACATGACATACATCGCAGAGCTGGGTTGAATGAACATACTGTAAATCAAAATGACAAATTGTTAAATTATCAAAAAGCTTATTCCCCTACAAAGATGTGTTGAATTTGAATTGAATTGAATATGAATTTTTAAGAATCAAAATGTGAATTGCAGTCTGTATCATTTTGCTTGAACTCGAATTTAATAATCCAGTTGTTAAGTAAAGTTAAGTCAATGAGTATAGCCAAAAGAAGTATAGCATCTCCATTGGTTTTACTCACCAACAACAGTAACAAATCCCATGAAATGCAACAATGGGATTATAATCCATCAATAACATTATAAGTCTAACACTAATGTAGCAAATTTAATTTAAGAACATTAAAGAAGTCCAAGGAATGACTCCAGTGAAGTGAGTAAAACTGTTGATCTATAGGTATAGAAAAAGGCCAAGGCATCAGACAGGTGGGACAGAATTTAGTAGAAAAAGTTGGTGGGTAACATATTGGGCTGGGATGAGGTACAAAAACAATGTAGTTCAAATATATGAAAAACTGAACGGAAAATTTTAATTCAGACCTCTGATGGCCTGATTTTGATGAAGAAGCTGCTCCGTTTGTAAGAGATCTTGAGCACTTTGGGCCAAGGGAAACGGTTGATCCTTAGCTTGTCCTTGTAAACCATCAGACCACTAGAGCAAACCCCCAGCGTGATGTCGACACCGTCAAGATCCTGCATGCACAAGAACAGGATGATGAACAGTTATGATATTATCATCAATGCACTGTCACCCGAGAACCTGCACTTACAATAAACGGTCACTGGGAGGCAGACTTTCTCACACTATGAGGACAGGTTTTGAGGTCATAGAGTTTGAAATGTTATTAATCTCTCTTTTTCAGAAGGGGGATGACATCAATTTTGTAATTAAAATCTGGATGCTACTGATGTAATACAAGCACGCCGCTGCAAAACAATGTCGCGCATTTCAAAAATGAAAGGAACATGGCACACACTTGAACTGTGGAATTTGGCTTTTTAAAATTTCCATAAGAAACCTGCACCATCAGTTAACCCACCCAACATTAATCTAAACAGGTAACACAGTTAAAACAAAACCCTACCTTGGCTTGGTGAAGGTCTACTCCATACATGGCAAGTTTCTTGGCATTTTCCAGAAACAACATGTCTGCTTGGGCTGGACTCATTGACCTGGAAAAACACAGATAAGAAGGGTCTTTTCGTACATATGTTTTATTTATAGTTGATTATTTTGAAATCTTCTATTCAAAGTTTGAATAGTTTGAGGTCATTCACAGTTTGTGTCTGCGGAATTAGGCTTACTCAAAATATACTAGATGAAAATGTTCCCCTTTGATTACCTGTATGTGCGGTGCAGCTCCATCACCTTTTCCTCCAGCTCTTTGCTCTGTCCGGGAACCAGGCTCAGATCCTTAACATAGTCTGTTCCATGGAGCTCTGGGTCGTACTCTCCAAGCTCCGACTGGGCTGCGTAGGAGCCCAGCAGGGACAGTGTGACAAAGGAGCAGGGAAGAATACCACGCATAATGTCCTTCCTCAGCTGGACACACAGAAAGTACCTGAAGACGACGTGAAAGGAAACAATAAGATCACTTATGAAGAAGTAAAAAAGGATATAGGATTTACTGTAGTGACGACATTTTTGGAAATACACTTTCTTGGGAGTTAGATGAGATGGCTGAGACTGTGCTTGTGTCCCTCTAAATATGAAGCTGAATCCAACAAGCTTTTAGATTAGCTTAGGTTAGCATAAACACTGGAAGCGGGGGGGGGGGTGGTGCAGTTAGTTACTCTGTCCAAAGCTTAGAAAATCGACCTACCAGCACCTCTAAAACTCACTAAATAACATGTTTTATATCTCTGTGAATAAGCAGATTTCCCAAAATGTCAAACCATTCCTTAAGACATTCACCTGGTGAGGTCTTCAGTAAGCTGTGCTGGATCAGGAGGGTAGAACTTCACGTTGAATGTAAACTCATACACAGCACCCGACACCTGTTTCCGGATCTCTTTGGTGGCTTCCAACCACGTCTGTGGAAAATGAGGGAACAAAATTACCACCATCCAATTTCTTGTCAGCGCCATGTCAAATATCTAGTTATGCTTCTGAAGAGAATCTAAAACCACAGGAGCAGAAAAACCAGCCCACCTTGTTGGTTGGTGTTTCCCAGTGAGCCAGGCCAAAATAATCCTTCTCCAGCAGGTTAACATGGTCACACACCTTTGTTAAAAGTTCTTGGGCTTTGGCATGTTTCTGCATGAGAAAGAGAGACACACACAGACAGACAGAGAGAGTGATATACATTTATGACCATATTAAACTTCAACAGAGGTGGTAGCTATTAAACACTGGAATTTGGAAGGTTTCTTACATCAAGCTCACACTCAAACAGAGTGTCGTCCAGTAAGGTGACTTTGCATTGCATGGTTTTCTGACGTTTGGAGCCTTTAACCTCTTCTGTCTTCTTCTCTGTCTTTTCTTTCCCTGGCTTCTCTTTCTTCGTCTCCTCCTTTGCCTTTCCCTCTCCTTCGGCTTCTTTCTCCTGCTTTGCTGCTTCTTCCTCTTTCTTCTCTTTCTCCTCTTTCTTCACTTCTTCCTCTACGTCAGGCTCCTTCGTTATCACAGCTTCTTCCTCTTGAGGTGGCTTGTAGAGTCAAGACAAGACATTTGCAAAGTATGTCAAATACGGATGAAAAGAATGAAATGTACTTTTTAAATTATGACAGCGCTGTAATTAATATGACGACAGATTTTAGTAAACAGCAAATATACTGCTGTTGATGCTATCTCAGATCAGCACGGATCATTTTTGTTTCAGACCCAGCTTTCAGCTCAAACCAGCAGTTATTTTTGCTGAGCAAGCTATCCACATCATAAAAAATTCATTACAAAGAAAAAAATGTGTTCTTTCCTCTACTGCAGTCCAATCTGCAGCATGAATTTGTACACAGGAGAGCTCTGTTTTTGACCTTTATCTGCAATGATGTTTGAGATTTCTGTCTTTTTTTTAACCTTCTCACGCACTCAGGATTGAAGGAGTAGTTTGACATTTTGGGGAAATGCGCTCCTTCTTGCCGACAATTAGATGAGAAGATCGATGCGACTCTCATATCTGTACGTTAAATAGGAAGCTATGGCCAGCAGTTGGCTAGCTTGGCTCAGCATAAAAACTGGAAGCAGGCAGAAACAGCCGGCCTGGCTCTGTCCAAAGAAAACACAATCTTGCTCCCAGCACCTCTGAAGATCACAAATTAACACGTTATATCTCTTTTATTTAATCTGTACAAAAACCAAAATGTACAAACGACAAAGTTTACTGTGAATGTGCAACTATTTCTTGTCCTGAAGCAACTATTTCCAGGAATGTTGTTATCACAGTGGCAACCAGCGGGGACTCCTGACCTGCACCTGACCAAGAAATAGCCTAGCACATAACTCCCCATAAAACCACAACTTCTTGTTCTTATACTTGATTTGTACAGACTCAAACAGACAAGATAAAATGTGTTAATCAGTGAGCTCTAAAGATGCTGGTAGGTGGATTTTGTTTGGACTAAGTCACTCTAGCTGTTTCTCCCTGTTTCCAGTCTTTATGCTAAGCTAAGATAATTGGCTGCATGATATGAGAGCGGTATCATTCTTCTCATTAACTCTCGTCATGAAAGCAAATAAGCAGATTTCCCAAAATGCAGGACCAATACTCCTAGTGTAATACTTGCCAGAGTCACACTCACCTGCGTCTCTCCGCTGCTTATCGAGTGCTGATCAGGGGCCTGTTCAGTGTCTGGCTCCGTTTTAAGCTCAGGCTCTGGAGCAGCAATCGGTGCTTTCACCTGCTCCTCACTTGGCCCTTTTGCCTCCTTTTCCTCCTTCTCCTCCTTCTTTCCTTTGTTCTTGCCCTTCTCTTTTTTCTTCCCCTTTTCCTCTTCTCCTGTTTTTTCCTCCTCCTTCTTTTTTACATCTTCTTTCCCCTTCTCTTCTTTCGTTTTAGTCTCCTCTTTAGGTTTCTCGTCTTCTTTCTTTTTTGTCTTCTCCTCTTCCTTCTTTTTGGCCTTTTCCTCTTCTCTCTTCTTTGCTTTTTCGGCCTCTCGTGCCTTTTCTTCCTCTTTCTTCTTTGCTTTCTCTTCTTCTCTCTTCTTTACCCTTTCTTCTTCCTCTGCTTTCCTCTTTGCTTTTTCCTCTTCCTTTTTCTTTATCTTTTCTTCCTTTTCTTTTTTCTTTGCAACCCTCTTGTCAACGTTTTCCTCCTCTTTACTCTCTTTCTTTCCGGCTTCTGCACCTTTGTCTTTAACTTCAGGAGCCTCTTTCTTTTCTTCTTTTTTTGTCTCCACTTTTTCCTCCCCCTTTTCTACAGTCTGCTGTGGTTTCTCCTCCTCCTTTTGTGGCTCTTTCTTTTTCACCTTTTCCTCTTCCTTTTTCTCCTCGTCCTGTTTCACTTTTTCCTCATGCTTTTTCTCTACTTTCTTCTTGGCTTCTTTCTTTTTCTTTTTACTGCCCTTCTTCTCAACTTTTTCTTCCTCTTCCTTTTTCTCCTCCTTTTGTTCTACTTTTTCTTCTTCTTTCTTTTTCACTTCTTTTACCTCAGATTTTTCCTCCTCTGCTTTAGCCTTCTTCTCTTCACTTTTCACCTCTTCCTCCTTCTCTTCTTCTGCCTTGTCAGCTTTTTCCTCTTTGTCTGCCTTTTCTTCCCCAGCTTTCTCTGCCTCAAACCCCTCTCCCTCAGAGCACTGTGAACGCCGTTTGAGGAAAGAGGAGAAGAGGCGAGACAGGCCTTTGCCCGCAGAGGTCCGGGTGCGAGGCTTCAGCTGCTCCTCCTCGGGTGAGGTAGCTACATCAGCAGACCCAGGCTCAGAGGCCTGCTCCTGGGCCTTATTGCCCGACTGCTCCCCCTCCGGCTCAGATGCTGCCGCCACTGGCTTCTGCTTGTTCTCTGATTCGGGTCCGGCGCCGCTGGCCTTCTGCTGGCCCTCGGTGTCCGCCTCGCTCACTGCACTTGCCTCTGTTGTCATGGTAGCCACTGGGAAGGAGATGGAGAAAGGTCACGGTGCTGTACAGTGTGACGGTGCACAGCATGGCTATACTTGGAACACAACAAACAAGATTAGTAGCAGTGGGCTATTAGCGTGTGTGTGGGAAATGTTAAACTTAACTGTGAACGGCAAGCAGATGTAAAACATGGACTGTACTATACTGATACAATAAACAGTGTGTACTGTTGTTAATCTGTAAACCGCTGATGATCGTGTTCAAGGACTATGATAAACTAGATTAGGTCATTTAATTTTTATATTAATAATATAATATTGACATTAATTTTCTGACATCAAGTCAAACAATTATTGGATTAATCGTGAAAATAATTTTCAGATGAAACAACACTGAAAATGATCATTGCTCAAAAACAAACAATGCGTGTTAAATCCTGAAAAGTTCTCATTTCTGGGGGGGGGGGGGTCATTTTTCAAAACATGGTGATGATATAAACGTAAATATCATCTAGTAGCATGCAAATAAGGTCATCAGTATGAATGCTTCATTATGCTCATGTAATATTTATCATTTTAACTGATGCTCTAATCAAGAGTAATTTACCACGAGAACGTTTTACAATAGGTAATTTACATTGCTGCTATAAGTTATTGATAGCTGTCTAGTTGGAGTGGCATAAATGAGACTCCATAAAACATGAAGCCACTCACAGATTATATTCTAACTCTTAACACACATACTCAAACACACAAACATCACTTCATCACACAATAGCCTTCCTTGTTGAAGAGTGTGTCTGTGTCTACATGGAGTTCTGAGGGTGTGTTCACAACACTGCCTCTCGCACTCATTAAATCACACAAAGGACGCATTCTGCTCTGGAGCTGCATATTAGCACCGCCTGGATCATCCTCGCAAAGCATGCCTGGCTCTTAATCTCACACCAAGCCCATCCTATAAGGGTCATCTAAGGCACCAGGACTAAGCAATTCCGCGTGTGTGAGAAAACTGTGAGATGATATAAAATCATCAATCTATCAATCGTTAAGGTTTCTTGGTGGATTAGGTTAGATTAGATTTAAATTTTTGCATAGATGTGTTGAAGACACAATTGATGGATTTGCCAAAATCAGAAATGTCTGTCTGGTTATTTTATGCAACCGTTTCTAAATAGATTTCTTTGATTGAATTGAAATGATCCTAAATATAAAAATCAATTCAACAATATATACTGTTAATGGTTTATTTTAAAACTTAAGCTCTCCCCGAACAACTCCATAAAATCAAATTATAGAATATAAACATTTATCTTCAAAATAAATCCATTTAGTGATGATGTATGTGACTGTCTCTGATGCTATAGGTTCTTTTATGTTTGGCTGTTTGTTTTACTTTCTATCTGCTACACTCAGTCTGTCTTGCAAAACAGAGATATCTCAATAAAATGACCTGAAAAAAGGTTTTATGTAGAAATGAGGCAGTATCTTGTAGTGCAATGGTATTCATCTATCCAACAGATTTTCACAGACTTCAGGCTAATTTATACTTCTGCATCAAGTCTACATGGTGCCATGAGCATTTAAACTTGTGCATTGGCGGTGGGGTTTCTGTGTTCCACTGGGTTGAGTTTCTTCTTCTTCGTTGGTGTAAGCTACTACAAACAATCATTGGTGACGGAATCTGAGCCGATCATGTTGAGTTGGAGTCAGTAATCAGTTTTAAACAGCAGTTACTTTTAGTGCAATTACTAAAACAGAGAAGGCGCCAGAGGAGATGGTATCTACAACCCTTGACCCTGCTGATGCACAAGAAGGATAAGTTGGAATTGCATAGGAGGAAATGCGATGCTACCAAGCTGGCCAATCCCAGTTCTTGCATTCTTAGTAACATTTTTGGGGAGGGGTGCATCAGGCTACCGCGTAGCCGCATACCCTTCGGCGCAGAAGTATAAAATGGCCTCAGCAAGGAGCACTGAAGCTGTTCTGGAGGCTTGTGGTGGCCTGACTCTATACTAAGACATTTCATGTTGGTTTTTCCTTTCATTTGTCACTCATCTCTATATTACACATACCAGGAAAGTAGACCTATATGGTATGCTTTACTGCAGATACGTTAACTTCTGTCCTTTTTAACCTGACTGTATGATAATTAAGGAAGATACCAAGACTGTTGTGTCAACATGTAACTAATAATAACTAACTGGCATGCACACTTACTTACATTACTAAAATTATAAAATTACAAAAATGACAACTCTCAGTTTAATTGGAGAAAAAAAACTTTATTGTGATGTCAGCCACTGTAACTGGAGTGGCAGCGAGAGGACCGATCCGGTATATACAGAAACTTCTAACCAGTTGATTAAATCTCACTACTGACTGAAATACACCACAGGATTATGCAATCACGCTACACCTCTCCTACGTGAGATGTACCAGTTATAGGGGCTCTCACATCGTAATCAAGTTTTTTCTCCAATTACACTGATTTGCATCCTGTCTGGAGGAGGCGTTGTCAAATTGGTGACTAATGTGGCTGTGTTTGTCTCTTCCATATGTAGTTCAAGTCCCACCCTGCTTTGTATGGAGTGGGGGAGGGGGAATGCTAGACAAAAAGGCAGGCCAATCTTCCAGATGTACAGGGCCGTCCCAAAGGGTGCAGCCTGGCCTTCTATAACATACACTTCCCACTGGCACTACAGGACAGCAGGAGAGGAGGAGGGGGTACGCACAGAGACCAAATCCTCTTTAGCCCTCCCATTGTTTGTGTCCAGTGACCAATAACTGTGCTGCACACTATTACTAATCCTGCCTACCCTTCCCCCTACAAGACCCCCCATAGGCCTATTCCCTAGGTCACCACACACACACACACACACACACACACACACTGGTATGCATCAACGCTCACAGGCTCCTCTGGGTCTTTTAATGCTCTGTCATCTCAATTGTGATTGTCAGGGAACAGACATGCTCCTAATGGACCAGCTGAGCTTGTGTCTGCTGCCTCCTCCATTTTGTGTTGCCTATCTAACATCTCTGCTATCAGCCAGCTGAGCAGGACTAACCTGCATCATGACTGATTGAGACAGCAGCAGCCACACCACAGGGTCTCTTAATACAGCATCAATCTCTATAATATGAGTGATGTTTCTTTTTTGGTGTGAAGGTAATTAGATGAAGTATTGCTGTAAAAAAAACAGTGCCCACAATCAATTAGTGTCTCTAATGAGCTAAATTATAGATGAAGTAGACCACCCTCCAGCAAGAGTGAGCTCGCAAAGAGCTGCTGGATCAGGTGCAAACGCCGGAGCTGGAATTGAATCAGGATTTGATTTAAAGTTTCTGTGACTTTAAATTTAATTGAATGTTTCCAAAGGAAGAACATTTGAAATTAGATTGGACTCAGTACGTTTCACTTAAAAGGAACGACCACATCTTACTTGACTTTTTGGAGTTCAAATCCAGTTTGTGGAAATGCATTATTTCACATGCATCCATTTCAACAACATTAACAGTGTGAGCTCCAATCTATTTGTTCTCATAATAATTATGAATAAAAATGTTTGAATTGATGTTAACCTAAAGACTTAACTGCTAGTGACACCCAAAATCAATTCACCATTAGTGTCTCCAGTTTTGAAAATATATTTCCTGGAATTTGTCAAAAAGCCTTCATACTATTTGCAAGTGATGATGCAGTGCTGCTGCTGTGCTTGTGTTAGTGTGTGTATATATCTGTGATGAAATGAGACGAGAGGGCAGAATGGGGAAGAGCTTGAAGAGCAGGAGGAGGTACAGTATATAAATAGCTACATTTGCTTAGGATGCAGCGACTCATTAGTTTGCCTTCACAGACAAGCTCATATCTAAATCTGTTCACAGCGCACTGCACACAACACGCATCTGCACATGCGCATACACGTGTGCACAGCTGCAAATGCACATACTACTATACACGGCATGGTTTGTAAGACTGAGGAGAGATCAAAATTCTTCCTAACAAACTCTGATCAACAAGTAACATGAGTTCCAAAATAGCATTACCCTGTAAGAAGAATACTATAGGACAAAAAGAAAGCATGTTTCCTGGGTGAGTAGGCTTAAGGAATTAGAAGGAGTTTAAAGTTAATCATCCCCCAAGTGACCAAGTGAGATTATCTCTATCTACCTGCCTATGGTATCTATCTCTCTCCCTCCACTCTGATTTTCTCTATCATGTGTGTCAGAGAGAGAGAGAGAGAGAGAGAGAGAGAGAGAGAGAGAGAGAGAGAGAGAGAGAGAGAGAGAGAGAGAGAGAGAGAGAGAGAGAGAGAGAGAGAGAGAGAGAGAGAGAGAGAAGCTGGCAGATGCACAGTGGCGATCAGCTGTGCTGATTCATGGTTTTATGTGGAGCCCCGCCAACCTGGCTGAAAATCAACAGAAATGAACTGAAGGCCAAGATATCAGTCCTCTGGCCACATGGTGGCACCTATTAACCTCTCAAAGTACACACAGACACACATGCAAACGCGTGCCTTGGTAAACTGTTCATATGTCCAGTCAATGCAGGTATGGCTGCCCAGCAACATCGTGAATACACAAATAATAGGCAGGCACTGAATGTCGTTAAGTCATTATAGTGTAGACACATAGTTCTTATTAAATTATACTGAGGTGCAAAATAATACTGAATGCGGTCAAGATTATGGAGAGACGTGCAGAGTACAATACTTACTGTTATCATGGATTCTGTAGCAGCATACATATCTTTTGTGTACCAGGTGATAAAACAAAGGGGTATTGGGCTACAAAGGGTTTTCTTTTCAGTCTAGTCCACTGTGTAAACCGATCCCAAACCCAGTTCTAAATCAATATACACAGATGGTCAGAGAGCCTGATGCTGTAACATGAACCGACATGGGAAAAGAATGAAGTAGCTTGATTGATTTACTGTGGTTGCACTGAAAGCAATTGTGAATCCATTTCAGGCATCACACCAGCCAAAGCCCACTGAAAGAACAGTATATCTGTACATTAGTGCACATTATGAGAGAACTGTGCTTTTTATGTTGGACACACACACACAATCCAGATGTGTGTCTAGATAGTGGGAGTCATTAGTGTAATGTGAACTCAATTTACTATATTTAAATAATTCTACAATTTGACCTTAGAATTATTAGAGGAAAGATTACATAAATTAGATCTTTTTTTCACATGGTTTTTAATGTCAAATCCACAGACTCCCTCATTCGTGAAGAAAAGAGCAAACAACTCTGTACAGTATGTGGAGTGTGTTTGCTATTTAGTAATGCTCACACACAACAGAGTAGTAGTCTAACTGCACAAATGCATCATAACTCCCAAAAGAGGATTAACACCAGCAAGCTCTTCAGGGACCTCAATGACCTCACTCTCACGTAGCAGAGCTGAAAACATCCTTCAGCTCTGCGTTCAGAACTGATCGCTGATTCAGCAGCAGAGGAGACCTCGAGCACCCGGGACCTCTGCGTTTACTTCTGTAGCTCATGCAAGCCCTTGCCAGTCCTATACTGCATTAATTCTGCCTCGGTCTCTCCCTCATCCTTCCTACGTGATATCTGAAGCGCTTCATAAAAGATTATCTGACTATATATATCCAGTAGTATCATCAATGGAGATGAGTCTTATTGGATAAGTTTCTCTTAAGGGCGTTATTGGTAGTACAAGCGTGTGCACGCACAGGAACAGTACCACATTCACATATGCCACCCTCCAGTGAAGATGGATATTTTTAACCTGTGCACTCCTCTTGGGCTAAAAGCAAGTCATGTCAAGCAGAAAATTAAGTGAAACAGCATGAAAAAAACAACACCAACCAACATCTATAAATCGGAGCAGACATATTCTTGGAAATAGGTGTAACACACCTCAGACATCCTGACACAAGAACCCCTTCACATGAAAAGACACAAGTGCACCATCAGGAACAATAACTGTTAAACACATGAATGATTTAGGGGACAAAATATGACAGTCATGTCACCTTAAGTAAATTCATAATGTTATTTAAGGATTTTTGTCCATTATACATCAAACTAAATATTAGCAGACTCTATACTGAATTTTATATGATAGAGAGCCACTGCTAGACAGGAAATGTATTCGTTTTTCCCATATAGTCATTCATCATCATTTCAGAATTCTACTAGACATTACATTAGTTCATAACATAGCCCAATGGTGTAATCTTTGTGAAGTATGAGTTTTCCTAAAATGCACAAACGGTGCTTTTAGCAGAGTGATAACTTGCATGCCCATTCATTCCTACAAAAACAACTCAACAACACGCCGCTGCCTCCACTGATACGGACCGCGTTTGATTTAGGCTATGTGGATGTTGAAAGGCTACTTTAATCGCCAAATATCTTGACTATATCATTTTAATGTGATTGAACAAAGCGTCGTTTGGATGTCGCATGGTTTTAAAGCCTAATAGGACTTCAATTTCCAACTTTTTATTATTATTATTAAACCGCAAACCAGTCACAGGTCGCGAGCCAACGTGACAGGGTATTTAAACAATCTCTGTATAAAAATGGCGCCGAATGTTCAACAAAACAAATAAACACCGACTCAACCCCGCCGCCCGAGGAACACAAATCTTACATTTGGCTTACCTACTCTAGGATTCGCATCAATGGGAACGCAAACGGCACAAAATCCGGCAAAATCCTATATTCCGCACATTCAGAGGAGAAACAATGTTGCGGAGCGACACATGCTTTGTTGTGCTGAAGGTGTCCGATGCTCGTAAAGGGGTGGAGTCTCACGCTGAGGTTAGGACTTTAGTTGACCAACTGAGCACCGAGCAGCATGCCTCACAACCGCATGCCGTGGTGGAGGAGACGGGACACAAATTTCACATAATGCTGATTAGAAGTGCCTCATGCAAGTGTCTGTAAGTCGATGTTGAAATATGGAAATGCAACTATGGAAAGGCTGCAGCAATGTAATCCTAAAAAAACCCACTTCAGTACCTAATCCACAAGTGTTCAAATCTGCTGTTAAACGACAGATTTCGACTACTATCAGTACAAATGTATGCTTATAAAAGACGGTATTTACGTTGTCACAGCTCATCACTAAGTTGGTTCCATTAACCATTAAGCCTCCTTACAACAATCCCCAACAGGCACAGTGTAAGGCGTGCCAAAGCGTGCAATCATTAACACAGTACAATGTCCAGAAACAGGAGGGAAGCAGGGAAGCCACAGCAATACTCTTGAGTCTTGCCCAGTCTTTTCAGGCACCAGTGTGGTGAATTCATCTGCACAGCATGAGGGTGTCAGGACTACAACCTTGGGCCAATTTCTAAGATATTAAAAGGAGCACAGTTTCACATTCAAGAGAGAAAAACAGTACAAACTGATAATGTAGTATACAACAATAGACCCACCCTCAACCATCTTGTCTAAAAATTCAAAAAACAAACCAGCACACACAACACACAAGCTGTCTTTATGGACCCCGGCATGGTCCCCACCCATCTGCCTGACCCCATTAGGGCCATACGGCTCATAGGCGGAAGGGGGGACGTAAAGGGATTCATTATTCTGACAGCCATGTGGGGTAAAGGAACCACCACCTTTGTCTCAAGTTCATGTGGCAGGCACAACGGTGTCGTGGCAGTGTCACGTGTCATTTCTCTGAAATTAATTTGCTATTCACCCAATATGTCTTACCAGTACAGAAATGATTCTGTAAACCAAAGGAGGTATCAGAAAGCAACAGAGACATCAAACATTTCTCTCTAGCACAGTTAACAGTTGACATTCTGTTGTTTTCTTCTTTAGACTTTGATCACTGAACAGTGTTGACACATAAGCAGCACTACAGCACACAAACTGGCGGTGTTAAACATCCACTCTAACATAATGCATTAACAGGAAGAATCCATTGAATCCCAGCTAAGGTGCACAAACTGAAAGTACTAATTTGATAGCAAATTTCTGTTTGGTGAGGGAGTGAAACACAGACTCCATAAACTACTCGCGTTGCTTAGGAGCCCCTGCTCTGCCCTGTTCCTACTACAAGGGGCAGGTGTTGAGCTGGACCCAGGAGAGAGATGAGAGACAGAAAGGATAGGGGAGGAGAAGAGGAGCAGTGCTCACAGCCCCACGGTCCCTAGAGACCGTGACAGACTGGAACCGCAGACTCCGAGACAAGCCACTCACACAGTAGACACACCCAAAACACTGACGCACACTTTCTGTTTCCCCCGTCACTCATCCTCATGTGTTGAAAAGCACGGGAAAACATGCACATAGGACGGTGCAGTGCATTACTCCAGCAGAGTGGATGGGGGTTATGTTTGTTTGGAACATCTTTATCCCTATCTGGCTCCATCCCTCAGTGATTACATAATGTCCCATACCACTTCCACCCAATTCATCTCTCGTTGACTTTCAATGCTGCATCTGGGTTGGCATCACACACACACACACACAAACACACACACACAACGTACCACCATCTCTCACGGATCTTATGTAAAACAACTTGTGCAGCTTTAAAAATGCTTTAAATATGAATTTTGCCTGCATCTGACGGAGGCATGGCTGCAGGGGTTTTATTTGTGCTCAGGATCTGAGCTCTCAAGAGCACTAACGGGATAGATGGTAACAGGGCATCAATATTCATAGAGCGCCATTATGTATGAAGAATTTATGAAACAGTTCCATGTTTCTGCCCTTTTCTGCCAGCAGACATGTTGCCCATCTTTCTTGTTTTAGGCCAAGTTTGAATTCTCATCTTCATTCACACGTCAAATCATTTCAATTACAGAGCAAAGGAAAAGGGAAGGGCCAGGACATTATATGGTGGATAAAGTGCATCAATGCATAACCATATAGTCGTGCTTTTTCTGCAGCTAATAAAACTGCCAAAAAGATTTGAACATATAGACAAGCATAGTTATGAGTCACATTAGAATTGAAATGCTTATTTTAAAATGCACTCACTTGGATGTCTTCTGAGACCTCTTATATCACACTGTAGCAAGCTCAAGCATTGCAGTGGACATTCTAGGCCACCTCAGAACATGTTACATTGTTAGATTTTCTGCGCTTATGTTAATGGCCAGGTTTTCTTAGTTTACACTGCCACCTGGTGGTGAGATGGTAAATTAATCATCCCAATGCACAGTGCAATCTGGGTATTAATACATGTACTTTGAATCTTACTTGTAATAATACTTGCAATAAAAAACACTTATAATTAAAACAACTCCATGGCAAAAGATCCAATCAGTATTTCAACATGTTACACAACAATTATTTTGTTGTGAGACAGAGAGGGAATACCCACCAGTGCTAATCTACTTTAACATAGGGCTGTAATGCATGATGGGAGCATGTGTTCATGAGAGATAAAGATGTTTTTGAATCCAGATGCCTCAGGGTGACACGGTCACACTACCCCTCCCTACACTAGTGTGGTGTGGGCACCAGCACGTCAACATAATGCCATAATTCCAGCTACTAAAAGCGCTGACTGGGATTCCTTCACAATCTCTTGCTCAGATCTGCTTGATTCTGAAAAAAGGGATGTCATACATTTTTTATGACTGAATTATAAAACAATAATAAAATAACACCCCCCCTGGATATGAAGAAATAGTCAAGGTTGAGAGGTACTGGTCACTTTTTAAAGAATCATGGAAGAAAAGCATTAGAACCAGGAACACCTGCAGCGAATACATCCATGCAGAAGCTATAGTGGTCTACAAAGTCTGCACTCAAACCCAAGAGGGGATGGAATGTCAAACAGAAGCCATCAAGAATTAATATTTAATAGTCTCTAAAAAGACTGATGAGCTATGACTTCATAGAATTGTTGCATAAATATATATGAAATGCTTCTCTGCAGCTGCCAGCACAGTTGTTTAATGAAACTCTGCATTACCTTTAAATCATACTGTGGTACATGAAAGGGGTAACTCATTTGTACATATATATTTGATATGGTAAAATAATTATTACTCAGTATGTACTGTTTGCAATACATCCCTGCAATGCCCCCAAAATAGGCCTTACATGCAAGGGTTCAATAAGATCATTACTATAACAGCAGCTCAAATGCCTTTGTTAGACTTATATGCCTGTTTTCATACAACTTAAATGGTAATTAATACTCACATCACATCCATGTAGAAGGTCAATGTAGAAGGGATCGACAAACCCAGACAGTGCAGGACAGAGAAGGGGAGAGAGGGGGGAAACAACCGGTCAGTTCAGTAAAATACTTATTTTATCTAGGCTACCTGACAGGAGTTTATACAAAGAAATAAATAAACAAAAAGGAAGACAGCACACAAAGAGATGTACAATACAGTACAGTAGTTACAGTACTCAGGTGAACCTCTATTTTGTATACATTAATTAATTACATAATGAATACTGCACAGAATATCATAAAAACGTATAACCTGAGGACTTACGCCTACTAATTCATAAAACTGTTGGGCCTGAATCAGAACATGAATACCTTTTGTGAAAGTATAGCATAGCTTACTGATAGTCTGACTGTGTAGCCTACTCTTCCTTCTGGTTAAGCTAGGTAGCCTATATCTGGTTTATAAAGTATTTGGACACCAGAGTCTTTGGGCTGGTGACAGCAACCTTCCAACCCTACCTTTTGTAAGACATTTCCAATCCTTTTTTATCGTGCAGTCGAAAGACTACAGTAGGATAGGAGCCCCGTTTCTCATTTTCCATGTAGGCTAACAGCACAAACATCTATGACCTCGTCGCATTTGACATAATCCTTCTCTAAATACGGAGCAGTGAACTCTAAACGAACTGCCGCCGCCGCGAGGAGAGTGAAAACCTCGCTGGGAGAAGATGCGCGATGTAAACACGATAAATGTGTGTGAGTAGGCGAGTCATACCTGAGCAGACAGATGTGTCCTCGGTTTGTTTTCTCCCCACCTTTAGTTTGACACCACAATTCCGGTATTTCCCTTCAGAACAAGTTAGAGACTGTCGGTCAGGATCCCTCAGAGAGGCGGTGTCGCAGCAATGACGAAGCACTAAGTAGTGATGGGTGGAGATCAGAGGTGGGAGCGTTACTTAAAAACCTCATAGATTACTGGAAACGTGTTATTATTAAAAAATATATTTAAATATTAAATATATTATAACATTATATAATATAATACTGGTAGTCTCTGAGGAAGCAAGATAGACTACAACATGACATACCTTTACACATGCCATGGCATTTCTGTTTGACATTACAGGTGGGTCAGGTGCACATAGTTCCTGCAGCACAGTGAATGTGCGTGGGTGAACTAATCCAAGCTGCCTCAATACAGATGTGAATTAATTTAAGGAGGTGTTAAGAGAATGGTCTTCATGTTGGCACTGTAAGGATTCCTTATCAAAATATCAGCACAGTGCAAAGCAGGTGCAGCTCCCCTGCTGTATGGTGGTGTGTTTACACGAGTAGTTTCAGTATCAGGATCTGAATGTCAGAGGAATGTGTGGTCATAGATTAAGTTTATGTTCAGCTATTGACTACTTCGTGCCAGACCTAGAGTGGTCTCAAACAGTATCAGCATGGTCACAGCCACCGCCCCTCTGCATGTGGAGCCCTTTCTGCTATTCAGATGTTACTGCTGGCTCCACACAGTGGCGCTGTTGTGTGTGTGTGTGTGTGTGTGTGTGTGTTTATTTAACTTACTTTTTTTTGTGGAAAATCTTTATCAGACCCAAATGATTAGTCCAAGAAGAGTATTTTTACATGTTAAAATATGTGTAGAGGAGCTCTTTAAAGAATGCACTATAAATTTGTGGGAGGCCTTACCATAACTTTCCACTCTTGCGTCCACTCAGGTAAGGTAGTGCGTGTATATGGCCCACACACAAAATCCTAGTTATGGCTCCATCTGATTACCGTGGATAACTCCTTAAAATGCAGTGTGAATTCCCAGAAGGGGCAGCACACCCCCGCCTAGCAGCTGCTACAGCTGGAACATCTGTCTCAGTATTACCTAAAACCCAGTGGCCAGTCTTGGCGCTCTCCCAGTTGGTAAGCCAAATATGTCTGGCCTTAAAGGTGTACTCCAGCAACTCAGTACTGCACTTTCACAAGAGATGGATTAAAAAAAACAATAGTCAAACTTTGAGCAGCAGAAGCCAAGATAACTTTTCACCTAGGAAATAAAGTGATTAGGTATTTATTTATTATTCTATCTGTTTTCTATGGATTCATCTTCATAGACAGACAGACAGACAGATAGATAGATAGATAGATAGATAGATAGATCAACTTTAACATGCAGTAGGCTACATTTATTCTCACACTGAGGACAACACCTCTTCTGCATTATCGTGCTGAGCAGTCAGGATCCACCCAGTGTGATTAACTTTGCACACTAGCAAGAGACTTCTGGAGGCCCTCACACGAAGATTAAAGCAACCGTCACCACCAACAAACATTGGGTTTAAGCACATGCATGCACACACACAAGAGCATTTGGCCTACTGAGGACATGTTGTTCCCTGACGAGTTTAATTGTTGCAGGTATTCTGCATGAAAAAAAAGACGAAAGAATAGATAGATATATCTATCTATCTATCCTTTCATCTTTTTTTAGATAGATAGATAGATAGATAGATAGACTGTATATATGTATATACATTGAAAATAAGGCAATGTGTAAATTTGGCATCCACAAATACATTTAATATGTTGTTTAATCTACATGAAAGCAACTTTTGATTTCTTAACAAGATGAGCTATATTTAATTTTGTTTAACTGAAATTTTTGTATTTTTCCACTGGTTATCAAAACGATAATAACTGGATAACTGATATATGGTTAAAAGTAGGTTTTACAGCACATAAAATAAAATAAAATAATCAAAATAATCTAACTAAAGTGGTTATTTTGGGGCCAGCCCCCCCCTATCCATTTTCTAACTCCCTTACTGCCCCATCAAATAAAATAGGCAAATTCTCTATCCTGAATATTAATTATTGTGATAAGGCTATTATAATTATTATTTATGATTTATGTATTATATTATATATTATTTTATAGGCCTATATGTATTCTGTATTTATTATGTAGGATACGTATACGGTAATAGTATTATGTTATTATGATTATGTATCAGTGTTATGGCCTAGTCATTACAAAAGCATCACCCAACCCAAATAACAGATTTGATTTTACTGGACAGTTGGAATACCATCATTAGTTTCCCAGGGAGCAAGAAGAAGCCAGCCATTTATGAGTCTTAAGCAAATGCAACTGTAAAGAAATTTGACATTCAAACTTGAATAAGGAGTCGTTACTGAGCACAAACAGCAGCCAATCAGAAATGCCAAACAAGAAGCACTCTTTGTTCCAACAGAAAACAAGAGCAGCCTATAAGGAAAACAGTCTGAGGCTACTGGCGGGGAAAGAAGGCTTTATCTTAACTTCCCAGGCAAGTGAGCTAAATGTCTTCGAAAGTTAGTGTGAGCCCTGCGCTTGGTGGTTCTTTGTCACTTTCTTCACTGCGGTTTGCAGAGAACTCAGTCTCAGCACGGCACTCGAACCTGCGTGAAAGTTCTGAGTTCCACTCGTTGACCTACTGGCTACCTCTTTTTTTGCGTGGACGTGGTCGATCTTTATAGCCTACTACCATATCTGACTTTCTAGCAACAAACTGTTCCCTTGTGCGATCAAACACAGCCAGCATAACCGCCTCAAAACCACGTTGCAGCTTTTGGCGTCAGACCTGGAATTTTTGGCCAGGCTCTCGACGTCACCGTCCGAGACAGTGTTTGCTGGGGTGTGATAGGCTACAACCTTGTCTTTAAACATCTATGGCTACAGCCCATTATGTTGTTTCACCAGGAAGAAAGCAATTCGGGTAGGATAGGCTGTAGGAGCTACTCGGCGCCATAAGACTGAAGTTATGACTTTAATATGGCCGAGAGCGACAAGGGTCCACTTTTAACTTCATGTATTATTTTCTACCTATCGATCGGGGCCGCAATATTCCAAATTCTTGAAGAGCCAAACTGGAAATCAGCCAAAGAACAATACATCTTACAAAAGGAAAATATTTTGAAGAACTATGCCTGCTTAACAAAAGAAGGTTTGGACGAGATTTTGGAGGTAGGCTACGGATCCATCTGTTTTTAATAGAAGCCTAGTCTATGACAGACAATAACCATGGCTGTTAGAGAAAAGTTGTCAACTTATCCGAACTTACATTAGATTAACTTTGCGGAGATTGGCTTCCCAATTAAAGGGCTCCAATCAATTTTCTTAAAGTTAGAAGAAAAGAAGTCAAACAATGCTGCCCCAGGCCTATATTATAGGCTACTGGATCCTTACAACTAGATCAGTCCAAGATAACAGAGTAGGCTATAGCTAAACGTGTCAGGACACCTCCGAACCTGTTTTTCCTGCTTATGAAAAAACAATAATCAGATCATGTCACAATAAAACGACAAAAAAGTTGTTTTGTCGTAGCCTAATGTTCATAATGTGTATAGCACAGGAAACCTGTAGGGTAAAGTCGTGGTGATTTACAAAACCCATGGTGTGCCGAGCGTGAAGGAGCAAGTCTTCTTCAACCACAAATATTTTAATGTTTACGCAAGGGTGTGTCCTGCTGTAATGGCTGTGTCTTTGCTTATCATTCTGAATAAGCCCTAAAAAGCATGTTAAATAAGTTTGTTATCTGCAAGTAAAGAGCCAGTAGTTTGTGAGTGCGCTTTTGTTGTGACGGATGTACTGTTTCCATACAGATAGTGTCGCAAGCTGCAGGCCAAGGTATAACCATCACCGGGGAAAATCAACGCAACTCGTGGGACTGGGCAAACTCAGTCATCTTTGCTTCCACCATTGTCACCACTATAGGTTTGTACTGAGGTCTACCAAAAATCCATGCTGATGTTAGTTGTATGTTAATTGATTTAACTCACAACCGTTTAAAACGTAGAACACTAAAACATCTTGATTTAGTTCTACATTTTTCTTTTATTAGTTAGGTCACAAAATAAACAATTGTCTTGTAATCATGTGTGACATAAAATCACATTATACATTTACAGACTTTTTGTGAGTGAGTATTAGATAACTAGCCATTTCATAAATGCATTTTGCCTTTAATGCAATGCCCTTTTGCCAAGACTTCAGAGTGCTTTATATTTTAGTCATAAAGGACAGAACAACTTTTTTCATCACTTGAAATTGTTGTAGACTTATACTTTATAGATACCAAACCCAAAACCCTGATTAATTAATTACTAACATCAATAACTGCTAATAATAATAACTGGTAACCCTAACCCTACAATGTTTATTTTTATTTAAAAAAATCTGCAGATGTTTTTGTAGTTCATGATTTGTGAACTGTGCATTGGAAGGGTCTTCCTGCAAAATGAATAACAAGTTAAAAAGAAAAAGCATGTACAATACTAGAGGATGAGACCAAGTAGCCATTTTACACCTGGTAACCCCAATGTTATCCACACTGCTTTATTTCCATCTATGAAGGATTAATTAATGACTTATTAACCATTAATAAAGCCAATGGTTACCTTGTATAATCCTGTATAAAGTATTCCTTTTATGTCTCAGTGTTGTGTGTTAATATTTCCTCTTGTAATCTACAGGTTTTGGTAACGTTGCTCCCAGGACTAATGGTGGCCGTGTGTTCTGCATCCTGTACGGTCTGTGTGGGATCCCCCTGTGTCTGGTATGGATAAGCGAGCTGGGTTCTTTCTTTGGAGACCGGGCCAAACGTCTTTCCCAGATTCTGATCCGTAAAGGCATTTCAGTGGTAAGAACGTGACTGAGAACAGGAGTTAGTATTTGCCCGACTCCTGTATTAAAAGACAGCTCCGTCAAGTTATTTTGACATTGCATGAAAATGTTTTTTCCTTTCTCGCTTCTTTCAGAAAAAGGTGCAGTTAACCTGTACAGCCATATTCCTGTTATGGGGGCTGTTGGTGCACCTGGTGATCCCTCCATTTGTTTTCATGTCTATGGAAGGATGGAGCTACCTGGAAGGCCTCTACTACTCTTTCATTACACTAACAACGGTTGGTTTTGGAGATTATGTGGCCGGTAGGTTTGATTTATGGTATAATGTAACTCATTTATTCTAAGGTTAATGTTTCCCTGAGGTTATTTGTGGGACCGAACATTTCAGTTTGTTCAATCCTTTTTATAGAAGTCACACCGGTGCCTCAACTCTCATTTCAGGAGTAAATCCAAACCGGGTCTACCCCAGACTGTACAAAGTATTTGCAGAGTTATGGATCTACATGGGCCTGGCCTGGCTGTCTCTGTTCTTCAGCTGGAATGTCAACATGGTAGTGGAAGCTCACAAGGTGTTAAAGAAAAGAAGACACAGGCACAGACGCTTTGATAACGAGGATCCTCCGCCTGTAAAGGAGAAGCACAAACCAGATGTACGGCCGACAGCTATTGACATCTTCAACTTCAAGAAGGAGGAAGACTATAGCACTGTCATCAAGGCAATTGGAGCCACATATAAAATAAAGCCTGCAGAGAACATAAATCGCTCTAAGAGCTGCAGTGACATCTTGGCCACCAACATCGAGAACCTGGATCACTCGCCACGGCACAGACGCATGCTCAGCATCAGCCAAGTGTTCGTAAGTGCAAAGGCTGTCGTGGACAAAGGGGAACAAGAAGACATGCATTCTTTAATACAAGAAAGAAACAGAAACAGAGACCATGAATCTGCACAGTGTTTGAGGACGGATAATGAGGAGAACAAGGACACTTGTGCATTTGATTCAGAAACTGATGGTATCATCTTCACTGTACCTACCAAAGATGCTACAAAAGAGGAAAGTGTACAGCATCCTGATGGTGGGGGGACTAGGTTTACGATCGCCAAGGTAGAAGAGGGAGATGTGTTAATAGATAAAGATGAAAAAGGTTAAAAGAACTTTTCTAAAACTTCCTAAATTGTGGAACTGATTAACCTATGCTGTGGGAAGGGAGTTTTGTACCAAAGTATCATAAATACTGTTATGTATCAGGAAAACAGAATTTTGTGAAAATTATATTAAAGGACTCTATAAAATATAAGTCTGCACTGTTAAGATAGTTTCCTGCTTTGCAGTGAATGTTATTATTGTATTCAACTTTTTGAATTTTTCTTACAACATTTCTAATCTAAAACAGCAGTGACCACGGATACACAATACACAGATTATTTCAAATTACAGTACAGGACTTTGTGGAAAACAGTTCCAATTAGCAACTTTCTCTCGTAAGGAGCTGCTACACTGGAGGCCATGATCACATGGCCGTTATCAACATACTCCTGGCTGACCACCGGCTGCTCTGAGTGAATGTTCTTGATCTGGATGACCTGGAGGAAACATGAATAAAAGTAAATCCAAATAACGATGTCGATATTTAATTTTTTTAAACCCTCAAAACTTACCTCAGAGCCAGGTGGATCTTGAGGGTCATAATTTAACAACTTCATGCCATTTGGATGACAACCCAGCCATATGTCACCTGTCTTGTAGTCCACCTCGATGTTATCACAGAGCGACCCAACAGCTACAGACTGGTTTGAAACATTACATACAGTAAATGAGAGTAAAGCATGTATAGGATTAAATTGCAAAAAAGCACAGTAATCGTGATGTTAAAGAAAATAGTTTGATTTTGCTTCTTGCAGAGATTTAGACAAAAGGTATGATACCACTCTCATCTCTGTATGTTAAATATGAAGCTACAGCTAGCAGCTGGTTAGCTTGACTTAGCAAGTAGAGAAACAGCAAGCCTGGCTTTGTCCAAAGGTAACAATATCTACCTACCAACACATCTAGGAAGGAAGTTTTTCCTTGCCTCTGTCGCCTAGTGCTTGCTCTTGGTGGGAACTGTTGGGCTTCTGTAAATAGCATCATAGAGTATAGTTTTATGAAAAGCGCTGTGAGATAACTGTTGTTGTGATTTGGCGCTATATAAATAAAATTGAATTGAAACTTGAATCTAAAGCTCACTAATTTACAGAATATATCTTTTTTGTTTGATCAGAACCAAAACTGAAGGGTAAAAAAAACTATTTCAGGTTTTACAGGGGGTTCCAGTCTTTCTGATGAGCTAAGCTAACTGGCTACAGATTCATATTTAGCTGGTAGATATGAGAGTGGTATCGCCCCAACAATCTCATCTAACTCTTGGCAAGAAAGTGCAAGTGCAAAAAATAAGAAAACTTCACCTTAAGATACACCAACTGTTCTCCTTCTTGTCTCTCAAAAACATCTATCTCATGGTCCATAATATCCGAAACATAAATGTACCTGTAAAAAAAAACCAATAAACATTGCTGTTTTATTTTAGCATTACACAGAAAACATACAGCTGTGGAACTAAGTTCAATTAAAAAAAACAAAAGAAAACATGCACATGCAGTGACTGCAGTCACCGTTTGTCAGGTGACATGTTGATGCCATTTGAGGACAGAAAGCCATCGGCTGCCACCCTCACTTCCTTTGGACTGTAGTACACCACATCACACCAGGGGAGACCCAGTATCAGAGTCAGAAACTGAAGTGCATCACTGGGAAAGGAGTGATCATTTGTGGCATAGAAGCTTTCTACTCCGACTGCAACAATGTCATTTACACTGAAAGACATGAGTTAGATAAAAAGAGAATGGCAATGTAAAATGTGTGATACTGTGAGGACTTTATTATACGCTACATACCTGTGGAGTAGGGGGTGGGTAATAGTTTTTAGGTGCACAAGAGTGTTCTCCTGAACAAAATGAAAGATCTCTACTTGGCTTTTGTGCTGAGGATGATTGACAACAAACAGGTACACAGAGTCATCTGCAAACAAACAGCAATGTGTTGTGTGTTGTAATTATTCTCCTCTTTTACGTTTACAATTTCATCAGATAAAAATCAAGCACATTTCTCTATGGACGTCACAGCACAGTTGAACATAAAATTAAAATGTTGCTGTTAAGAGTTTGAACAGTGTTCTAGTACTACTGTCACGCCATTGCAATTATAGCCAAAAATAAAGCTGTAATGCTTTAGATTTCAGTCCTGGCAATGCTTGTAGTTATTGTGGTAACAACAAGTTTGGTCCCAGAAAATGATCGCCGTCTTGTTTTGTAGAAACATTTTTGATGAACCATGGCGGTCAAAACTAACTTCTGTGACAAGTACATTGCGTTTTCTGTGGCTGCTTCACAATAAAAGTCACCTGAAGTATTTTAATGTGAAGCAACAGCAGTTGGAAATGTTATGTTAGCATTAGCAGTAACTTAAGCTCTGATAGCAAGTGATAGAATTTTTGAGTTTTAACAATGACAAACCCTGGTTCATAGCTAAACGCACACAGCTATGGTTAGAAAAATAAGAGGCGTTTATGAGTGAAGACAGGGTCAGGTCTCGAGTCAAAGTACAGGTTTAGCAAAGTGGTGAGAGAAGCTGAACCACTTTGCGCCACTTCTCAGCAAATGACTGGTTCTGTCTGGAGGGGGCTCCAACAGATCACCAACAACAGACTGAAAGCACCTGTAGTACCTGTATGTGCACCTGTATGTATGTGTATGTGCACCTCTAACAATAATGGTAATAATAATTTTTCTCCTGCATCCTTTGCACTCTGTTCATTGCACTATTGTCTTAATCTGTTTGTTTTTGCTCAGTGTGTACATGTGTTATCTATACTATAGCCTATGTTTGATTATTATTGTCTTATTGTATTATTGTATAAGTAAGCACATCATGAGCATTGTCCAGAGTCAAATTTCTCGTATGTGTACACATACCTGGCAATAAAGCTGATTCTGATTCTACTGTTTTACTGTCGATTTGAAAAACAATGGGACAGTTGTGACACCATCCCCCATGACTCCATCGACCAGATCCACCTCAGAAGGGACATAGGCCCTTCAACAACTAACCCACCCTAGTGCCCACCTGTCTTTACATTCACTTAGCAGACGCTTTTATCCAAAGCGACTTACAATTGCTATGTCAGAGGTCGCACACTTCTGGTTCAGGAACACATTAGACGCAGTATGTGTATGTGTCGCAGTGGTCTCCCACACCAAAGACATGTGTCTTACCCGCTGTTCAATCGTCACCCCCACCTCCCCAACGACGTGGTCATATTCTTTTAAATTTTTTAAATCTTGTCAATTTTATATTTACATATTTTATGTTTATTGTTTTGCACCAAGACACCGAAGTTAATTCCTTGTATTTGTAAACCCATTTGGCAGTAAAGCTGATTCTGATTCTTTTGCCTCATGTTTAAATGGTTGTATTTGTTTGACGCCGTGCTTCCCAGCAAATCAATTTGTAACTTTGTAAAGTCAAAAACTGCTCAGGAAGAGCTAATCAATTATGATTAAATAGTTTTTTCTTCCAGTAGTCAACTTCCAGCAGAGTAAAATCCCAAAAGGTTTTCTGGGGGGAAAAAATTGCACAAAATCTCATCCAAAAGGTCATCCACAGTCTGGTAAGTAATACAAATAAACAACAAGTTTTACTTGCATATATGAATGTAGCACTCTATAATTGTTTTTCATTTTTCTATTTTATGGATGTATATTGGGTTACCTCATCATCATTAAGTTAGACACTAGTATGAGGTTTGCTGTCCAGTCGGCTGTAGCACAAAATGACTGTATCACTATATATTTTCAGGGCTTTGTTGCATGAGTCAACAAATTCTTTGCCAGATACTTTCAAAGAATTCTGTAGTTGTCACAACTGTTTTCCCCATTCAGTTCCTTGCTCTCTAGCAATTCTGGCTGATTCTGTACAAACATTTCCCCTTTCAGCAAGCACAAGAGACTCACGTCCAGCCCTTTTCATTCAACATGAATTAGATCAATACTCTTCATAACATCTTTTGTATTTTTTTGTAATTTTATTCTTATTTTTATGTCTTGCCAAGTCTATTTTGCACCATTATTGCTTCCAGTATTAAGGAATATTCATTAAAAATTCGCTATGGATCATGTCAAATCCATTAATGTCTCTTATCTTTGAAAGGAGGTATAATTCTTCAGATAGTAGTACGTAACAAAATGTTGCTTAAAGAGGGCTGCCTTCCACAATCTGATTTCCTAGTTAAATTTACATTACATTTATTCATTTAGCTGACGCTTTTATCCAAAGCGACTTACAATTGCTATACATGTCAGAGGTCGCACACCTCTGGAGCAACTAGGAGTTAAGTGTCTTGCTCAGGGACACAATGGTGGATGTCTCACAGTGGGAATCAAACCCAGGTCTCCCACACCAAAGGCAAGCATATTATCTATGCACTATCACCACCACCACCACCATTTTCAAATTGTGTAAATGTTTTTGGTTAAATGTTAAATGTGGAGTATTGGCATCAGTGACTCCTGTTTCAATCCAGAGGGTCACTGTGGACATTGTGGAGGACTACACCTGGGAGTGCACATTGACAATAAACTGGACTGGGCCAAGAACATTCAATCCCTCTACAGGAAGGGCCAGAGCAGTCTCTATTTTATGAGTAGGCCTAGATCCTTCAACAATGCTGAGAATGTTTTATGAGTCTGTGGTGGCCTGTGCTATCCTGTTTGCTGGGGTAGCAGGTTGAGGGTAGTGGACGCTAACAGACTCAAGAAACTGAGCCGCAAGGCCAGTGGCATTGTGTGGGTGGAGCTGGACTCTCAGTTGGTAGTGTCAGAGAGGACGATGCTGTCCAAGTTACGTGTCATCTTGGACAATGTCTCTCATCCACTCCATGACGTGCTGGTCAAAAACAGGAGTCCTTCAGTGCAAGACTCATCCCTCCAAACTGCACTACAGAGCACCACAGGAAGTCAATCCTGCCTGTGGCCATCAAACTATTTAACTCTTCCCTCAGAGTATCAGACACTGAGTCTTTAGTCATTAAACTGGACCTTGAAATGTGTTTATTCTGACCCCAAACTGCAATTTCTAAGGATTTAAATATATTATTGCTTCTCTTGTACTGTAGAATACTGTAGGCAACGTATTTCCACACTCTTATTTATATTTTAATATTTTTTTTTTCTACTTGCCAACATTTTCTTAATTCTACTTTCTTTAATGCCTTGTTTAGCAACTTGAGCAACTGTAACTAAACAATTTCCCCGCAGGGATCAATGAAGTATTTCTGATTCTGATTGAGGAGTTAGTTACAATCTAACATTTAAAAATATTCTTTGGGATTTAGTCCAGACTGTATATTTTCGCTTTAGACTATTCATACTGTTACTTGTCACATGACTTGATATTGAATGAATATGCATTTTGTGTCAGGCTTCACAGTTGTTATATTGTACAGGTTTGTATCAAGATGATGAAAAATCTGAATTGTTGGGACTCTCTATAATTCTTTAAGACAACAATAAGAGGTAATGTTCACTTCATTAACTTCATATGAATTCACGAGGACCAATGAAATGTGTCTAATTCTCCATTTTGAGGTTTTTACAATGTTTGATTCTTCATCACATTTGTGATCACATCATGCACAGACCCTTTCTTTTCTTTGTTCTGTAGCTGAGATGTTGCACCTGATTTGTACTTCACCTGCTTCATCAATGTATACACTGATGCCATGAGGGTTGAAAGAGCGGAGGTCCAGCCCTCCTTTGATTTGCAGTTCCACTGGAGTTGGCTTTGGGTGCAGCAGGTCCAAAATGTACATTTTCCCTGGTTCATCAGAGAGTGAAGGCACTCCCGGATACTTCAACCCCTGAGTGGAAAACACTGCATGTAAGATGTTGGTGTAGATGTGTAATTTTGCTTGAGGAGGTAATTACGCAAACACTTCCTTTCCTGAATTCCTGAATTATGTCAACAAATTTTAAACTGTTTATCCATAATTTGACTTATAATGTAGAGGAGTACTTATGGAAACTGCACTGATGCAGTTAACATTCATGCAACTATGCTAAACTTTTAATAACATACTGTGCTTAGAAAGGCCAGTCCATCTCTTAGTATTGTGATATCCTCTGCCCCATATTCTGTACAAAACAAAATAAAATGTTACACTTAAATTACACAGTAATTTAACACCCTAACATTATCACACTAAAGACACTTGGCCTACTGCCAGTAAATTGAACTATAAACTCTTCATGTGTGATCAGATTTTTATGAATAAATGGCCCAAGTCGTGAAACATGTTTACATTACAGAACATTTTTGAAAATATAAATCCCAAACTTAAGACACTACATGAACATAATGCCAAGAATGCCTACCAATATTGTTTAAATAATGACAGTTGAGGTGTTTCACGGGTACTTCTCTGGAAGCAAGGCTCATTTCCCTGCAGAGAAAATTAAATATGAAAACAAAACCGGGCCCTGCGAGTACTGTACAACATTTTATAACCGTGTCATTAGCAGAGCTGGGGTAACAAGCGCCGTGCATTGACCAGGTACTGAAGTAAACAACACCTGTCAACAATGACAAGCAGCATAGCCTACTACTAAAACTTCCTACTATATCTGCACTCCTAAATTACAGATATTGAATACTTACTTTAGTTTAAGAAATCGGTGTCCAATGAAAGCTGCAAAAGCAGCGACAACAGCAGCAACTACTACTTTCTTCATGGCGGCCATGTTTAGAAGTCAAAGGTTATACGTTTCTGTGCTGATTAAATCCATCCTTGTCGCGTTTGCTTACTACAGTTCATTTTGGCTATGACAGTGTATTGTTAATGCCGATGGCCATTATATACACAGTAATCCTACACAGCCTACACGTGAAGAGGTTAATCGATAATTATATGGTTGTTTATATTGCTCTTTTGGTATTTGGTACTATTATTTTATAAGGCACCCTACTAGAAGTCAATGTAATTCTGCTAACTGGCCATTTGCAATTGTATTCTTGTTTAAGCTATATTACAAATGTGCTGGTGTGCTGTTTTTTAGGCTGCAATGCTAATTAATTTAGTACTTTCATAGCCTAGTTTTGGTGTTTGTGAATGCGCTGCATTGCTTCTGCCACCCCGTGGTGACTTTCAGTAAGTCTACATAAAGTTTTGAAGCTGAAGTAGTAGAAGAGGATCAATACCTTTTCGATGGTTCTTCCTTGATGTAGTAAAATAGTGGTATTTCAATAGCAGAGAAATCTCATTTGCTTTGGTTGTAAGTGGATAAAATCACTGCAAGTTGAACTACTTCTCAGCATCCTACTGATTCTCTGGCTGCAGCATACATAATACAATTATAAAAATAACTGCTTATTGCTTCATACCTTATGCTTATTTCCTTTGACTTATAGACACACATTTGTGTTATTGGAGGGCGAGTCCCCAAAACACAAAAATGCAGCAGCAGTGGCCCTGAGGGCTCAACACTTATGCAACTTCAAACAAAAGTTGGAGCAATACAATTAGAACCATTATATCTACCTCATGATTACTGTATGAAAGCTGGATGGGGTATTCCATATTGGCATCACAATTATTCCAATTAAAAACTTTGCAGCCACCGACAGATATGGACCATCAAGCTTTTATTTAGGGATCTTAATCACACTCAGTATGTCAGCACACCTTAGAATACAATATTTGGCCCAAAAGAACAAAACATGATAAGCAACTGACATTTAAAAATATATAAAAAGCAAAGCAATTATATGATCTTTTTACATTTGATTGAAAAATATTGTTTACCTATTTCACAGTGGTTCAAGTATCCGGGCAGTTAAGTAACTTCTATGTCTGACACAATTTGCAAATATGCCGTTGTACCCATGGCTCATTACTTAGATTTTCTTGGTCTATTATCAGATCCTGTCTAGTACAACTGTGTGAAGCATTCCCCCCACACACAACAAGTCTTGTAATATCCATGTATACCATCATTCAAATCATCACTGCCTGATTGAGAACATGGCAAAGTGGTAAATCTTGATCTCTTCTCCTTACTGAAAACCATCTGTCAAAGAGTTATTGCCTACTTCAAATCACAGCAGATTGCTTTATGGAACACACTGCCAATGAGCAACTTCCCCCCATAGGTAGCTGCTACAGAGGAGCCCATGATCACATGGCCGTTGTCGGCATACACCTGAGTCACCACTGGCTGATAAGAGTGAATGTTCTTGATGTTGATGACCTAAGAAAACATTATAATGAGAAAGAAATAATTATAACAAGGTGTAAATATTGCATATTATCAGTTGATAAGGTAAGCATAATATTGCAGATATAGAATTATAGACTTTAGTCTGTTTTGTAATGATGGCGGATCTCTCACAGTTTACTATCTGGTAAAAGTGAAGGGACAAACCTCTGATCCAGGTGGGTCCTTGGGGTCGAACATGAAAGCTTTCCATGCATTAGGGTGACAGCCTAACCACAGGTCACCAGTTTCAAGGTCAACTTCAACATTGTCACATAGTGAATCCACAGCCACAGACTGGTAAAGGTCATAGATAAGGTTATAATTCTACATTCATCATGGTTTCTTGATTACCTGAAATTACAATTCTAGCACGTATTTCGCCTATTGTTTTTCCGTCAATGTATATTGGTTTTGAAGCGCTTTAACCACATAATATTTGCTATTTGTGCCTAATCTTATTTGTCTTTCAAAGTAAAGACTTTGAAATAAAATCCACTTCCAGTAAAGAAGTAACTGTTAGTTGCCATTTTCACCTTACCTTAATCATTGCACACAAATCTAAAAAAACATCACAATTAACATTAAAAAGGTACAGGAAATTTAAAAACAAGAAATACTCAAATGGAGTTTCCTTTAAAGGACACTTTCTTTTCATTAAAACTCTGCATTTATTCTGAAAGTAAAGTCAACTCCAGCTGGTTAACAATTCAGCGTTAGCATTTGTTGACTTCAAGATTTTTGTTTCAAGATGATGTGATCATATTGTGTTATTCTTTAACTAAATTCTGACGTCTAAATAAAATGATTCCAGTTATTTAAGTTTGTTGAAAGTGAAAAATCCTGTCCCATACAGTGAAACTCAATTTAACATAAATTGGATTCTTGATGGCATACATCATCCCTAATATCAATATTCCCCAGCCCTAATGTCCTCAGAAATGTATTCATAAGTACTACACTTCCCACACCAGCATTGTGTAGTATAATTTTTGTATAAAAATAACATCATAAGTATAAAATGTTATTTTATTAATTCTCCTGAAGTATACTAATTCATCTTGAAATTAAAGCAGCGCACTTTCATCTTGCTGAAAATTTGAGTTATTTACCTTCACAGAGACCAATGCATTGTCTTCTTTCCGCTTGAGCACATGCACATTGTGGTCAAATAGGTCTACCACATATATATGCCTATAAATGAGAAAGAATATTAAAATGAAGAAACTCAGACCTCTGAAGCACGAATGACTGCATGCATAGCCCTGCACATCATTCTTACCTTTTGTCTGGTGAGATATTGATGCCATTTGCAAAGTAATACCCCTCAGAGACCACTTTTACTTCTTCAGGACTGTAGTACACAACGTTGGTCCAGGGCTGAGCCAGAAGAGGCTCCACCAAGCCTTTAAAGATCTCATGTGTAAAGTAGTGATCATTGGTTGCATAGAAGCTTTCAACTCCCACTGCAACAATATCGTTCACACTGGAAAGATAAATCATAATTGAACAATTATTTTATTATATACACAATAATTAAATTACTAATTACACTATGCATATATTTCTGTATAAATACATTACATGGGATAGTTTTACAAATATTGTTGCAAACTGACCATATGCCCCTATTCAGTAAATCTCAAGTGCAGTTCCTGGTAGGTACAATTTAATTTTGTCACCAAACTGTACCTGTAGAGAAGCTCATGTTTGATGGTTTTCAGATGCACCAGGGAGAGGGAGTCCTCAACAAATCTGAACAGCTCTACTTGACTTTTGTGTTGAGGATGATTGACAACAAACAGGTATATTGTGTCATCTGGAAATGAGGAAAGCATTATAAAAAGTATTTATTTATTTGCAAAAACCCCAAAATCTTCAGTAGTTAAACTGTCAGCTGAACTGAAAATGATTTTTTTGTATTGCAAAATGTATTCTTACTGTTAATGTAAATCTGTTGATACATAAAATTATAGTTAAATCTGGAACAAATTCAAAAAGCTGGAAAAAAAGCCACTGGGGTTTTTGCCCTTCAGGTGCCATCTCGTAGAGATTTGTGTGCAACCACACTTGGTGGTAAGTGCTTTTACCACTTGTGTCGGTGTATACACTGATGCCATGAGGGTTGAATGATTCCAGATCAAAGTTTCTTGGCATGCGCAGCTCCACTGGTTTCATCCGAGGATCTTGCATATCGAGGGAGAAGATCTTTCCTGTCTCCTCCGAGGATGGCAGCCCAGGATACTTCAGACCCTTTTAAAAATATACTAAATTATACAGACTATAAAAAACATTGCACAATAAATTATGATGCCATACTTTGAGTAATACATGTGGACAGTGGATTGGAAAGGATGCAGCCTCAGATTTAGGGGCATTGTATAAGAACTTTTCTTTTTCTGCCTAGTACCTAGGCTAAATCTACAAAACCTACATGTTTTTATGCAGTTGAAGAGATGCTGGTACATATTAAGAGAAAAGCAGGCAAACCAATTGACCTTTATAGAAAGTTCATGTGGTTTATAGTGGGATCAGGATGGATTTATTTACATTTTTGGAGATCACTGGAGGAACTAAACAAATAAACATTAAGGCTATGTAGAACATAACAATAATAGATCTGCAAAATCAGCAGATTAGTCCACAGACAGAAAAAACCTGGCAACCATTTAATCATATTTTTTCAAGCAAACATGCCCCTAAAAAGCTGTTGAAATGCGAGTATTTCTTGCTTTATGGTCATTGTACATGGAATATATTTGGGGTTTGAACTGTTCACCTTAAAAAAGTATTCTGTGGTCATGTAGATTTGAATTAATGTATTAGATAAAATATATTCAATATGATTGTGTTTTTGATTTTGAGGCAAATATTTAATTAAATTTCAAATAAAAATATTTGGAATAAAATCCACCCATTGTTAGTTAAATAAAACATAAGCATTATATTTATCTAATCCCAAATATAGAGAATATTGAGTGAATTCAAATTTATGTAATCAGCATGGCGAGGAAGGGAGTTTTTGTTAAAATTAGCTAATAAGTCTCCTGTTTGTTTTAAATACAAAATTTACTTTGTGAATCATGTTTTTTTAAATGTGTCTGTTTAGAATATAGTGGTTTTTGTTGGCAATTGTCATTCTTGTGGTGTTTTTTTTCTATAAAGTATATGGTTTACTATTGAAACCAGGAGTGAAGTGCCTGTTTTATTTGATAAGTTCGGCTGCACTGATCATTGACCAATATATCGAAAGCAATTCTCTTGTATAGGCAAGTCTACAAGCAAATGGCATTTCCTTTGTGGTAGTGATGGCAAATTTGAGTCTTTTGACAGACTCGTTCATTCAAATCTCGTTCATTAAAATGAACCAATCTTTTTTTGAGTCATTTCGTTCATTTGAACTTATTGTAGCGCTGCAGCCCTCTAGTGGGTGATTAAAAAACAGCGCCGTTCTCAAACACAGAAGGCTACCTGGCTTGCTTTATTTGACAAAGTATAATGCACAAATTCACCTCTTGACTACTGTATATTATCATTATATAACAACAAAACCAAATTCAAACCATGTAAAAACCACAGAAATATGTTGTCAATATGTAATCACCACTACTTCGGCTAAATCCTTCCATTTTCACAATCTTTCCCGAGTATACAACCAGACCAGCCATATAGGCTTATGTGTATAATTACTCTCATTATCTCTGAAGTGCTCATTCATACAGCAGCCTAACGTCCCTATCCATGAGTAAAATATTAATATCAGATTTGCAGTAAATATATTGAAGTAATAAGCTTGATACACTATATGAATAAACACACTAATTAAAATTCAAGCAATTTAATAATAATCTGGATCAAGCCACCAAGTTCTTAAAGAACTCCAGCACAGAGAGTGGAACAAAGAAATAAACACATAAACGCAGAAGTTTGGCAGTTCTGGACGCAGAATGGGCCACATCAGGTCCAGATTCTGCAGACAGAGAAACAAACATGAGCACATCACTCTCAAACACTGCAGGTTGTTCACCAGTCACGAGCTGTGAAACAACAGCACGGCTCTGTTGATAAATAAAAAGGAAAAGTTACATTGCGTTCTCTGGCGGACCGGATCAGCTGTTAGCTGTTTACAGGGATAACGCTAACGTTGCTACGTGGCTGTGTTTTAATGTTTTAATGACCGGGTCTGTTTGTTTTGGAGAGGGGACTACCTCTGAGGTAATTCGGCTCCAGGTAGAACCCTGTCAGGGCTCTGAAGTGGAGCGGACCCAGAACAACTCTCATTAGCTGTAATGTTAAACACTAGCAGGACTAAAGTTACGGTGCGGCTGTGTTAAAACTATAACTTCACTACATGCGCAACATCACTGCATTGTAATAACGTTATGCTTTATAAAATGTCACATAATTAACAAAATAGCTATATAATGTCAGTCCAGTGACTGTTACCTGACAGCCGACCTGCCTCTCATTCTCCGGCGCTGGCAGTCACTCAGCCTGCCAACTGAATGAAAGACTGAGGAGGACCCATGTGAGCGGTGAACAACTCAAACATACCCACAGTTGAGAGTCGTGAACTAATCAATTCTGTTTCCTGTGCTGATGGAGCCCATGCAGCTGGTGTGTGACGAGTGAACGTAGAGTCCAAGATCCATCACGCATGCGTGAAAATGAACGAATCCCTCACTGAGACAACCCATTCCTCCTGAGTCATATACGCGATTAGGTCTTATGAACAAAACTTTCTTTGAACGACACACTACTACTTTGTGGGGGGGGTCGGCTGCCCCCATGCAATCTTCCTTATATGTAGATGATTAATACTCAATTATATATCGTTGATATATAGAATTAAATTAATTTTCATCAGTACTATTTACACATTAGGGAGTTTCTTTTTCAAATCAACTCAATATTTTTGTTTAGGTTATAATTAATTCTGTACTGTTTTCTATTTGAATCTACTCTTTAAATGGATAACTATTAAGGGTCTCATTTAATTAATATTTATGTTATGTTAATACCAAACATTGTGAAATTTAATTAACAATATTGCTTGTAATCTGTTGCCTCATTTTTATTGAGTAGATATGGTGTATCTTTTCTTACAGTGTTGGCCAGACAAAATAGGACATTTGAACATATAACTTGGACTCTTAGAGACTAAGGACATTTTATAGTCTAAAAGATTAAATGATTAAATGTTACAAATGTTAAAAACATAACAACAATGTTAGTTAGGGTACACAGAAATGAAATAATGAACTTTTTAGTAGCCGAACAGACTAGCCACAGGGGTGGTTTTACTGACAGGAAAAAGATTACTTTGTTGAGTTGTTTTCTATTGTATGTTATGTTTGTTTAACCTTTGCAGGGTAGGCCTACACTTGGCTGCTCTTCCAACTCAAAAAAAGTAGGCCTACTTACAGTGCTGATAAAGGCAAGCCCGTCTCCAAGGATCGTTATATCCTCTGAGCCATGATCTGAAAGCGCGATAGTTGCACAAGTTAATTTTGCTCCCTGATGTTCATCTCAAGTCTTTCCTCTGGCGTTACTTTAGCCTACCCAGATTTTTGAGTGCGACACAGTTGGGGAGGTGATTCTGGACCAGCTCCCTTGAAGCGAAGGTCCTTCTCCTGCAACGTTGCAGAAGTTACATTAGAGCAGGTGGGCCGCAACAGTTTTTTTTCTCTCTCCAACAAAACTAAATAAACTCGGAAACAATCAACATTATTGGGGTCGTTTTCTATTTTACCTGAAGCTGATAATCCTTTCTCCGAACAGCACCGATAGGGCCGCTATTACAAGCGAGATAAAGACTAGCTTTCCCATTTTGCAATCGCGACAAGAAAATTTCCCGAACAATTGCTTCTGCTTGATTACTGAAGCCGAGGCATGCCACAGCATGCGCGGTGCTGCCTTCAGGACTATCGGAAATATAATAGCATATATGTTGATTTACGTTGACACCTTGTATTCTTCGCATTGCTACATTTCCATCTTACATGTACAAATACTTCAATTAACTATACTGAAAATCACGTCTTACAGTTTACTCTCTGACATAGGCCTACGTTCTGATTTACGCAGGGCCCGCCTTCTCTTACAGTTGCAGAAAGAGTGGCCCTATATTGGTATCTCTTGGCTTATAAGATAAAATGTATGACATGTATGTTTATTGTTAACAATAAGCCCACCGACAACAGAACACGAGACATTTATACGCGTGAGTTCCAATGTACTAGAAGCACCTGAATGCAGCATGAATCCATATTGGCAAATTGGATCTAAAAACAGCTCTAATGCTACAGTTTCAGATGTCTGCATAAAATGTGTGGATTTAGCCTGCTCTAGGTAGTTAGTTGAAATAAAATTATTTTATGATTGCTGCATTCATTCCATGTATAATCCTTGTGAGATCATAGCAGTAGCCTATTGTCCTCATGAATGAGCCTGTGTCTGTAACTGACATTTGACCTCTTGACCATAGGGATAGTTGCATATGTAATGGCAGGAGTCATCTCTGTGTGTAATTTTAACCTTTGTGAAACCTCTGGGAACAACAAGTTTAGTTTTTGGCAATGCCTGGTTTGTAGTAGCCTTCATATACGAGTGAAGCACTCATTTTTATATACAGTCCATGGTTCGGAGTCTAATATGGTCTGGTGTGTACATGTACCCCTCACATTCAGCTTTTATTTTTCTCAAGCTGAAATGTGTGCATGGTGCCTCCCTAATTCAAAACACTATGGAGAAAAGGATTAAGGATATATGCACTGCACACTCACTTTGTTCAAGATAACCAAAATAGCAGAGATGCAAATATATGACCACAGAACTACAAAGCTGGGGAATCCACATTAAGTCATTTGGTGCCATAATTAATTCAGTATCAGAGGAAAATGGCCTTGTGGGAAATGCTGACTATGCTGTTTTAGTTCCCATATAGGTTGCCAATGCAACCAGTCAACAGAGGGTATACTCAATAACGTGTAGTGCCTGCAAAACCCTGTTTAAATTGTTTATTTTTGAAGTTGTTTTTGTAGGTGATGACTCCTCCCAACGTAAAACAAAAAGTTACAAAATCGTCTATATAATCAAAATCATGTGTAAGAGACTTCATAAAAAACAAACATGAACACATACATAGACATATAGAAGTGAAAGTAACATAAAATTGGCAAACTATTGACCCTGTGATAACTCAGCATTGGGTGCATGCAACCTGACAGTCACTGTAGAATATCTACAAAAGTCCAATTAAAGAATTATAGCATCTAACAACTTCAAAACACCAACAACTCCTGCACATTACATCGTGTGCAACCAGCGAGCACTGTTAGGTGGGGCACACCAGACTCCTGTCTCTTGTTTTGTGAAGTCGTGTAAAGGTTCACAGTGTAGTACAGCAGGATCCCCATCAAACAGTTTCAAGCAAGACTGTATATTTGAAACATACAAAATAAATTTTATTATCCATTCTCTTCATGTCTACATCTTATTAGAATTTCTAGACAATGGCATTGTCAAATAACACCCAAATTAATTCTAATAATCCTGACAGGTGCAACAATACATTTCTGTCAAGTCCAGGTGTCAAAATATAACTGAATGTGAAAAGCAATTTAAATCTTCTTCTGTTATTTTCAACATAAAAAGGGGAGCCATGGCCCTGGGCCGCAGTGAGAGCTAGGCAGGACATGGCCATGAGCACACAAACACAGGTGAGGAAGTGGCTTCAGGGTTGAGCCCCAGTGGCTGCTGGGACTTGTGTGGCCAGAGTGTTGGGAGCAGAAATGACGGGTGATCCAGCAATGTTAGCCAGTGGCTGTGAGGAGGACATTGAGGTGATGCCTAGGAGAGACGGGGGGGCCTTATTAATCATTTGGTAATGGGTCATATTTACATGTCATCTCAATCTGAAATTAGAGTTATAACTTTGACTGCATGACCATTTTCAGATGGACCGCTTAACAATTTGACAATTTCTTTGGCTGTAAATAAAGTTAGATTTCTAATCTAAAGTCAGTCTGACTATGAATTTTATTTTCTATGCAGCCTTTCACAATCTGAGTTTTACTTCTGATGCAAATAAGAGATATAACTTTCTTCAATAGATTATGAGAGAAACATCTAAAAATGTAGACTATTCCTTTAACCGGGGTCATTTATTCTGGGCAGGAATACTCACCAGCCATCATACTTGAGGAGCTGACTGGTGTGGAGCTGGCAGCCATCCCTCCAGGAGTGGCCCCCCTTCCCTGATCTTTAACGATGGGATCTGAGAACAAAAGGTGGATTTGAGCGCTTCATAAACAAAATCCATGTGTTAACGCAATCAAGCCAAGATGTAGACAGGGTAATAAAACAAACGGGGAAAAAAAAAACAACACTTACAGAAGTAGGGATGATCCATGGCCTCTCGGGCTGTGAGGCGGGCTTGATGGTCATAGCGCAGCAGTTTGTCCAGGAAGTCTAGAGCCTCTGTGCTGACCAGGTGCTGGTTCTCACTGTGCACAAACCTCTCCCACCTTTTGCGGGAGTGTCTAAAGAACAAACCAGCGATCAAGTATTAAGTGCATAGGTATTCATTAGTCAAAATATTTACCAAAAAACATTCAGCGATGCTTCAAAGGTTGAACAGCTACAGGTTTTACCTTCCGAGGATGTCATTGAACCGTGGATCCAATTCAATGTTGTACTTGTCAATGTAGTCGTACAGGTCCTCAGTGCCTAGCACTTTTGCAATTCGCACAAGCTGAAGGTTAAAAGAAATATAATTTCAATGATTACAAGAGTACAGTTACATTTATTCATTTAGCTGACGCTTTTATCTAAAGCGACTTTAGATCTTTCATTCTCTACAAAGGCCAATCAGAAAAGCTGATCAGATGATGCAATGCGCCCAGGTATATTAACATCCACCAACTGATTTTATTGAATTTGCAGAGAAACAGAGAGAGAGGTTTATTTGTGTGTTAGAAGATGCGGGTGAAAAAAATCCAAGACACAAATTGTTTCTTTTGGGCGACTTTCTAAAACAAACCACTGCTGACGAAGAAAGTCAACAAAGCAGACACATGCTCTGTTGACTTTCACAGGGAGAAAGAAACAGAGGGGGGCAGGGCAAGCCAAAGTGTGCGCAGTGAGAGACAGAGGTGCAGGTGTGTGCAGAGAAGAGAGAACTGAATGGGTTTAAGTTGAGTCTCTAAGACCCCATACACACTACTCCGTTTTAAAATGAACATGATCTTCATCCACAACAGCGTTTTAGATGCACATCAGAATTGATCTCCGCCTGTATTAAAATGACTGAAAACGCACATGTAGTGGATAAGAAACATGCCTTTGGTATGAGAGACCCGTGTTCAATTCCCCACTGTGACACATCCAATGTGTCCCTGAGCAAGACACTTAACCCTTAGTTGTTTCAAAGGCGTGCAACCTCTGACATATATAGCAAATGTAAGTAAATGAATAAATGTAATGTAAAGTAAACATGAAACCGATTGTCTATTCCATAGTTACAGAAGATTTGGCGAAAGAATAAAGTACTACAGACAAAGAATCACACCAGATTTTATTATTTGCATTGACCAATAACTTATGAATGTGACATGGGAGTTTAAAGTGACTGTTGCGGTGAAAAACAGACTGGGAGTCGTCGCAAAGTAAACGGCGACACGCACAGTGTGTACAAAATATTTTAATAAAAATACCAAATTGAAAACTCTGCCAGTAGCAATGTGTTTCTGCTTTGCATGGCTTATAAGACTCAGATAGCCAAACGTAACGTCTGCGTCATCGTTTCTGAAGTCCTCAGTTTTTGCCTGTCTTCACTAAAACGCTACCCGGAGTTTTAAAACGAGAAATAGGGTCAGCAGCGTTTTCAAACTTCTCCCTTTTAGGCCTTCGTTTTCGCTGTTTTAGTCTGGACGGTAGGTGGATATGTAGCAAAAGGTCTCCGTTTTAAAACGGACGCATTAGTGTAGATAGGGCCTAAGAGAGAGTGAAATATGTTGCCTGCCAACTTCCACCTCTTAATTTTGATACTTAACATACATTTTTAAAAAAAAGCTAAACAATAAATAGAAGGCTTCCCCTTCCCCCCCGTGATCAGTATTGGTTGATACTGCCCTATTTTCACATATTCTAGGGTCAAAATGAACAGTGGGTACAACATGTTTTGGAATCCGTACATTTGTGGCCTTCAAAATTACATCCACAGAAAGTTGTTCTTTTTGCCACTGACAGGCTTAGACTCTTATACCAGATGTCTGGCAACACCATGGAAATATACCTACGAGTGACACCTGGTAAAACCCCCTCTTGTGAGAGGAGAGTTGCTGCAGTAAGACGCCAGTGGAAACATTACTCAGAGTTGGAGGAGTTTGTTGTGTATATAGAGGTTCGCCTCTCCCAAGATGTCAGAGTGAGAATTGTCCTTGAGCGAGACTTCTGTTTCTGGTTAGAAACAAAGGGTGTGACCAGGGCCCTGTTTCAGAAAGCACGCTTAACAAACTCTGCGCTTATCCCTGAGCTCTGGGTTGACTGAGCCTGAGGTGGGAAACTGAATTTCCGGTTCCAGAACAGCTGATCAGAATAAGTTCAATCAACTCTGACTATGTTGAGCCTGATTGAAGCGTGTGCGTGGGGATGAAAAAAAGCCATCATCAATGGAGCTTGGATACTACGATTCACCATGGCAACGGGTCAATAAAGGCAGATCCTCCATTTTAATCGGGTGGAGCTATAAAAATGAATGCTGCCAATGCGGGCTATGATTGGCTCTAAAACGCAGGAGTGGAAGAAGGATCAATGCGATAAATGTGTTAACATTATTAGGCTACTATACAGCGTTGCTCATTCATCATTTTCATCATTCATCAATTTCCTTAATGAATGATAAAGTGCTAAAGCCCATTACATTCGATTTTAAATAAGAAGGCTGTATTTATTAAGCTGTAACCCGACGCGACAAAATGCCGGTGGCAATCGGCTACCTGATTATGAAAATAGGTATAGATCAAATATAAGACACAGTTTACTCATGAACCTGTGACTGTAAAGTCAGTCACACCCAGCAGGTTAGCCTATTCATTTTTTTTGTAGTGGAAAATGTGTGTTAAAGTCTATTTTACATTAATAAAATCTTGCTCATTTTGTATTTTATTAATGCTGTCAAAACACATTCAGACTATCAGCAGCTAATAATGAAAAACTCACTTTTAAACCTTATTTAGGCCTAGGTTTGTTTCAGCTGCACCACAGTCATCCTCACTCAGAAATATTCACATTAACTTCAGTTGATAACTACAAATGTTCCAATCAGTGCGATTAGCCTACAATATTTTTTTTTTAAGATGTAGGCCTAAATGCGTTCCGATATGTGCTTTGGTATCGACAGAATGAATGACGAAATGAAACTGTGCGTCAGAGAGCTGCCTCAGGCTCTGAAGAAGGGGAGGAGTCAGAGAGAATCTGACGGTTTTCCAACTTATCCTGAACCTAACCTCCTCCCAAGGAGGTTAGGTTCACAGCATCAGTTGCCGGAGTTACTGATCTAGGGATTATCTGATCTCACTCTCTGAAACAGAAAACCCAGAGTTTCCCTCATCTCAGGCTCAACATACTCAGAATTTTCACTAATCCCCCTTTCTGAAACGGGGCCCAGGTGTTACTTGTAGGTATCGTTTTCCATGATGTTGTCATTCACCTTGTATAACAGTCTGAGCCTGTCAGTGGCAAAAAGAAGCACTTTTGGACGTAATTTTGACAGGCACAATTCTCCCCAAAGGAATACGTTGCAGCCACTCCAGCCAGTTTGCAGCTGCCAGCTGAAACAAACTACTGCACAGATCCCAAAACATTTTGTACCTTCTAATCATTTCAGGATTTGTGAAAATGGGTTTAAAAGTACCAAAATGACCCTTTAAGAAGATTATTTTATTATCAAACTTAACTGAATCATTGGACATCCCACTGTAATTGGAAGGTAACATTAAAAAGGACTTAACTATGTTGGATAAGTTTCATTTTGATAACACACGTCCCTTTATTTAACAAGCAAGCATGTCGAGTGTACAGTAATTAATTTTTAAAAAAGTCTACACCATTTGCCTGATTACTAGATTGTGTATCTATAGAATTGAAACACCACATTTAAACCATAGTGACACATAGGCTCAAACACAATCCCAGATAAGCCCTGGAATAAACTGGAAGTGCTGTGTTCAATTTTACAGTGAAGGTAGGGAAAGCCAACACAACAACTGACACCATCCATGGCAGTAAAACATGTTATGACCTGTGTCCACTAGTACAATCTTACATTTATCTTTTACCCCTTTCGTTTTACATTCAGCACACCAAACTCCCTAAAAGTTAATAATAAATGATTACCCTCATTCAGTAACTGCTGAGATACCTTTAAGAAATACATAAAATCCCAGGTGCTCCAGCAGAGCTGCTATGTGGCGAAATATTGGGCACGAGGACAATGTGGTTTGACTGTGTAAAACTAACAATGCCATGTATTATGCAGCCCCAGACACTGCTCTCTTTAGACCACAAGTTTGTGACCACATAAACAAAAGATGGTAAAAAGACCCCATTCATCATACCTGATCGTAGTTGTCATGACCGTGAAAGAAAGGTTCCTTTCTGAAGATCATGCTGGCGAGCATGCAACCCAAACTCCACATGTCCAGGCTGTAGTCGTACATCTACAAATAACAGAGAGGTGTCGAGGTTTGAACTGGTTTCATGGCTGCATTTAAAACTCTGTCTTCCTTAAATTAATAATATAAAATCCTAAGTGCCATTTTGACCAATGTGTGTAAAACTGGAATGACTAGACATGTAGGGGAAGAGTATAGAAACCTCACCTGGTAGTCTACCAGCAGTTCAGGTCCTTTGAAGTACCTGGATGCCACTCTCACATTGTATTCCTGGTTTGGGTGGTAGAATTCGGCCAAACCCCAATCGATTAGGCGGAGCTGCAAGTTTAAACAATTTAGTTGAGTGCAGTTTTGAAAATTGGAATTAGCGGATGTCGCAGCAGAGAAGACGATATGAGAAAAAATGGTCAGCATGAAACAATACCTTTCTGTGTTCATGATCAATCATTACATTGTGTGGCTTGACATCTCTGTGCATAATCCCCATACTGTGGCAGTAATCCAGAGCCTATCAGGTAAGGTGGGGGGAAAAGACGTTAAGATGTTGAATTGATCAAACCAGAGCTTGATACATTATTTCTGGCAAATATTAAATAACCAATGCAGAGCATAAAGTTAAGAAATCAAGTGTACCAAAATCTGTTTCTTACCTTTAAGATTTCGTACATGTAGAACCGTATGTCAAAGTCAGATAGGGTTTGATACAATTGCTGTTTAAAAAAAAAAAAAAAAAAAGTATGAGGCATTTGGAAAAGGTCATTATGAGCATGTGCCCGGGTACAAGGATAAAAAGCACAAATCTTTACCTTGAAGTCTGTGTTGTTCACATGTTCAAAGACAAGAGCGGGGGTTCGGGACTAAAGAGAAAGAGAATACATGAACATGTGTATTTATGCATGAAACCTTACACACCCACAAACCCAAAATTGTCACAGTACAAAAAGGAGAACCAAATTACCACTGGATCCTTGACGATATCTAACAGCGAGATGATATTTGGGCCACCCCTCAGATTTTCCAGGATCTTTATTTCTCTCTTGATTTTCTTTTTCTTGACCGGCTATGAACACATATTAGCCTTGTGAGGTACATGAAATGTCCACTGAGGTGACAAAACAATGACAATTTTTTTGCAAAACATATAAATAATCAATCGACTATCTCCATACCTTCAGTATTTTGACGACCACTTTCTCGTTGTTTGTGATGTTTATGGCTTCAAACACTTCACTATATTTGCCTCTTCCTAGTTTTCTGACTAGCTGATAGTCATCTTGGTTCCTATAAAACAAAAAAGCCTTGGTGAATGACGCTGAGGTGGCTCACCCAACAAATACAACTAATGCCAACTTACCCCCATTCAACAACATGGGACTCATAGTCCCAATATTCCCGAGGTCTCTGTGTGTTTACATCAGGGTAAACTCGAGAGCGACTTGGAACAGGGCCAGACATATTCTACACCGGATCTTCTCTAAATCTCCTAAAACAAAAAAAACAATTTCAAAGAGTGTTGTTACTAAAAACAGCAAAATTAAATACAAGGGAGTAAACAGTCAATTCAACCATAATGCTAGAAATAGGTGATATAAAAAGGTAAATGTATTATAAGGTAACAATACCTGGGAGGTTCCCTCCAGGATGATGGTGATAGATGAATCGGAACAGGAACAGTTGAGATGCCTTTATGGTAAGAAAGCTATATGGGCATATAGACACAGTCCAACCATTCATATAAGTTCAGCAACATGTGTAGAACTGAGAAATGTTTATAAACGATTAACAGGCATTTCAAGAGTTTCAAATTAAAACAGCTGTTTTGCACATGCTATGGGAAGACAACAAACAGTGAAACTAACAAACTAAAATAGCAATAAGTTATTTAAATAACAGACATTATCTACTCAAACTAAATGATTGATGTCTAGTGTGTCTAACGTTAAATACGGTAGCGTGTGAAATTCAGAAACCTGAATGTTAAATGGGGGCATCCAACCAGTCTAATCAGGAGGTACAGGGTTCAATACAGTCATCACTGGGGGCTACACCACGGCAGTATGTCCTGTTGAAAATAGGCAGAAAGTAGGTTAATCAAAATCAATTCTATCAATTAAGCAAACATGAGAAAACTGTGTGAGCTAACGTATGCCTACCAATCCAGATAACATTAGTAGGTCTGCGATAAATTATATGGTTTAAGAGAAGTATCCTATCGACAATAGGTCTCTCTGGTACGAAACAACAGTTCAGTTACTGCCAGTTTGCCCGCTAAACTAGTACTTTGATGAAAAGGTGAGCGTACGCACAAACCCCCTGTGGCTGAAGGCCCGCACAAGTGCAGCGGAGCTAACAGCTAACTTGGCTATCAAGCAAACCGGGCAGCTGGTTCGCTGCTAGCGAGTTAGCATTAGCTGGTCAACAGCAGAGGGAAAAGCCGGCTGGAAAGTCACAACTATCTTTCGACCCCATTGTGGGACTGTAAAGGGGGGGAAATAGACAACCCGCGTCAAAATAGCCAAGAAACAATTCTACTGGTCATTATTACTGTAGAGTTAAACAACAAGCTTCGACAAAGATATTTCCTAAAGCTAGGAAGTGCTAGGCTAACATGCTAGGGGAGTGAATAGCCTGCTGGCTGGCGAGGAAACTGACTGCCAACGCCTTGAAAAAGCCTCCTAGAAACACTGTGATCGAACAGTAGAAAGCCATCACGGGTGTTTCTTGTTCCCAGCTTTTTCTCACATATGAAACACTCAACGGTAGTTCCAAACCCACGACGATTTGTGGTTAAATAACACGATTACCTCTCAGCGATGTTGGGACGTCAATATGGCGATGCCGTGGATCAAGAGCTTAACGTTAGTGCGAATAGCCTTTCCCGCAGAGGGCGCTCTCCTTTTTCTTGTTCATGGGGGAGATTGTAGCTCCCTCTGCCACCAACAGGTCTGACTGAAGTTAAAAACTTTAAAGTGTAACTTAAAGTCACACATGTCATGTTTTTTTTAGTTATTTAAAAAAATGTCTGCATGCATGTTTGACTACCACAGGGCCTGGTATAATATTGTTGAGGGCAGATATTGAGTGGGAATACATAGCCCCCCCCCGCCGCCTTTTTTTGTACATAGTAGCCTACAGAAGGCACACACGAGATTGCAATTAAAATAATTTCCAAACTCACTGGGCTCACCTGATTACTGCATTCCTGTGGTCTCCATTTCAGGTTATTTCTACAAAGAGACATTTCTAGAGACTACTGCTTAGTAGGGCCTGTTTTAAAAAGGTCTTTGTTCAGGTAAAATATAGGGTTCACTTGGTAAATGGACAATAGTGAAGTAGTGACAGAAACAATGCATGTTTTGTGGCATCATTTTAAAGGCTGCTCCAGTCTGGAGCATTTTCCTGAAGTAACAGATTACCTGTAATCAATGCATAATAGAGATAAAGCCTAATTCTTTCTGGGAGTTGGAATGTGGAGAACATTTCTTTTCATCTTGAATTGATATAATGAATAGACCCTTGTAAACATATCCTGTAGCCTAATTGTTGCTCTGCAAGTTAAGCACTGTTAAACACATAGAAGTAGTCTTTGCAACTCAATCTGATACATCTGGTCAGAATAATTAGCTAGGGAAAGGCCTATGAAAGGTGAAAAATCTGGATATAAAGCAGCAGTAGATAAAAGCCCACAGCACCCTTGCTGACAAACAGTGGAGACAGCTGGGGACCAAAGTCAACAATGAAGCTGTGAGTTTTCATATTTTGTCCAACAAATATCTGTCTTTTCAAACATCTGTCAGTGAAATGTATTTTATTTGCCAGCTACAAATGACAATTTGAATTAATTTTATTTGTTTCAGCTTTGTGTCTATTATACTTCTGCCATTTGCAAGTATGGTTGTAACAACCCCTGTCAGAGGTAAACCAATCTGAAGAGAGAAAAAATAATCAAATGTTGTTTTGAGCCTACTCAAACTTTGTAATGCACATGTAAGACTTATTAAATTATTTTTTTCTTTCTTTTCAAGCCCAAAGACAAAATGTATTAAGTCTCCTAAATGGTGAGATCATTTATGTCATTTATATGTAATTTTATGGGTTTTTTTAACATGCAAAATAGACATAGTACTGCTTTTTGAAATCAGATGAATGATTGTTTAAATCACTACTGTGAATCTTAATCACATAACCTGTTCATTACCGTTGTTTTAGATGCACTTGCACCAACGACCGAAAAGACCATACCTGCAATCATAACAGGTCTGTGAATCAAAATGATACTATCAGATATACTGAGATAAATTCATTTTTAAAACAGGCAGGTCCATATGAACAGCTCATCTCACATCCTCGAGTACTTTTTGTTCCTCAAGAACAGAAACAAAGACCAGTTCATGAAAGACAAAAAACAGAACAACACATACAATCTATTGTTTATTGTTTGCCTTAATCTTCAGGGTGTAGTGTAGCAAGCACGTTTGACATTATCTGATCTTTACCATATACATCCAACCCAGTTTGTATCAGCATGTATTTTCTCCTGCTGCAGATTATAGAAACCCTCCAAGTAAACCTATGAAAGAGCAAGATTCTGACATTTTTGTGCTTTTTTTCTGTAGAAATAAATAAATACACACATCAAAATACAAAACAGCTGTGCATCTATTATGCTTATCATCAGTAGACTTTTAAATCTAAATTGCAGCAAACTAATTTACAGATTTGTCAGAGGCAACACACACAACATATTGATGCAGATGTTGTGGCCACAACTTTTACTTTTCCCAGATGCATTAAAAGACAGCCATGAGATCGTGATTCCTAACGCTGTGGAGAAAGATAAGGCACCATCAAGGAGGAACACAGGAGTAGACCAAGACAATATGAGGCCGATGGATATGAGCAGCAGGCTGGTTTGGGACCAGGGGAGCAGAGAGCACAGTGGGCCACACAGGCCACACCAAGCAAGCAGAGAGCGGACTGATCTTAACAGTGAGGAAGGAATGATGGTGTATGCTCAGGAGGCTGAAAATTTGCCAGGAAAGCAAGTTATCCATTTAAATGAAGACCAAGTGACTGACAGTGACAGTCTAGAAACTATTGTCCAAAGAAAGGCAACACCAGGAAGAGCTAATGGATTAAATGGTATGTTGGCCCCAGGCCCAAGCAAAAAACTGCTGGATTGGGATAGTTTGGAAGAAAACAGACCTGCTCCAGTGGGCAACAGAGGAGATACAGACTATGATGGTGAGACCATATTCAAGACATTACTTAAAACAAAATCCAAGAGTTATGTTCTGAACAATCAAAGACTGAACAAGTGATTTTAATATTCCCACAGAAACCAGAGAATTTATCAGCTCAGAAACTTCTCCAATTGGTAAGAACTGTTTTTTCTTCCCCTCAGTGAATACTGTAACGGCAATGTTTGATTCCCTGAAAGACCCGTCATTTTTTGTAATCCTCTTTCTCTTATGTGCTTTTAGCACCTCCAGAGCACATGCCCCGTAGCTTGTCAGTTCCAGCCAAGAGCTGAGCCTCCTGACGATCATACGAAGGTCTGTTTCCTCAGCATTTGAATCAGACAAAAGTTTTGTCAAATGCTTATGTCTCTGTTCACCCAGCCTGGCTTTGGAAACAACTCCACGACATGCTGTTAAATACATGTTTACCACATAATGCACATTTAAATGCGTTACATTTCATTTTTATCTAATTAGAAGATGAAATGGTTTCCTAGATCTTGCTTTGTTGTTCATCTGGCATGAATGTAATGTTGAAAACCAGTTGTTTTTTCCTCTCTTTCTTTAAGATTCTATTACTTCCTCATAATGAGTCAGGGTCCGCTATCTGTTGAGTCATAGGAGGCAGACATGCTGCATCCAAATACAGTTGCTTCTGGGACTTTTTCATCCAATTTTAGATTTTTACATGTATTGTTTTGGTATGTGATCATGTGAACAAATTTAAGAAATAAAGAGGTTTTGTGTTAGGCTTACTCATGGTAACTGGTTATGGAGTAAGCTGCTACAGTGTGAAATTTAGTACGAAGATTGTGGTGTAAAAATGTTAGAAAATGAAATCAGAAATGAGCACAACAATAATTTTTGATGATTTTGAACATAATCTATCTGAGCTGGAAATGCATTGCTTTTATCTCAATATACAAAGTCTTTGTATGTTTTCATTGTAATGTGAATTTGTGTAAGTCATTTCCTGAAAGAAAATGTTAAAAAATGCATCTTTTTCATTTCCTTTGTTTTATTCTGTAGTTTATTTAATTTATAATTAGTTATGTACAAATACATATTTTAAGACATCTTAAGATTTACAAAAAACACGGATGTGATACAGCAAACATCTCATTTAGCACAACACAGTACTCCATTTAAAAAACATAAATCAATTACATGCAAAATACACATATCAGCTGTTTGTTATTACCTATAATGCTGCAGGAGTATACGTGGCAAAACAGGATGTGTGTAGAAGAGTGTGGTGTACTTGTGTAGAGAAAATAATTACAGACAAGCCATTGTTGGGATTTTTATAGTTCCTTTGTTTCATTTCCTAAAGTGCCGAAGCTCACTGTACACATCTGACTGGACTCCATGTAACTCCTACAAAAAGTCAAAGCAATTCATCACGGAAAGTCCAATATGTACGGTAAATTTGATTAAACGATTATCATATTTTTTGTCTTTGTGACTTAAATTATAACACAGTTCTGCTTTACCTGGTAGGGGGATTCTACGACCTCTGTTGCCATTTTCTTTGATATTGACAATGGTGGATTTCTTTTTCCTGCAAACATTTTTAAAAGTGTCAAGTTACTGCCCACCGACCACCCAGCATACTCACAAATACACAGAGAGGTAGTGCTCACCATCACGAGATTCCCATTCCCTCTTTCTCTTATGGTGAGTTGCGAAGCAGAAAACAGAAATGGTGATAAGGATAGTCAAGATAATATCAGAGGCAATAATGCCCATTATGGACCCCATATTTATAACATAACAGGAACCACACTCTGTGAAAGAGAGACGACAAAGGGTTTTAACATGCAGCATCATGTTCCAGCATCTCACACGAGAAAAAGATTTAAGAAAGCTAGATACCTTGCTGTCCTTCTGCAGATCCTGAAAGACAGAAGAGTTGATAAACGTCAGGTAGGCTATTAACTACAGTTTGAGTCATTGCCACAATCATTCACTGTCAAAACACACGTAGTACACCACTCACCAAACAATGAACCCACAATGCAAAGACCGTCAGACATCTTCTTGATGTTGGTTTCTAGTAAAGGAGGAAATGAGAAAGAGAGGTTTAGGGCCACCGGTCCTTCTGTTCTCTTTCAAATGGCCGTGTTCTCAGACCCATAAACAAGATGCTGGAAGACAGAGGTGGGAGGGTGCACAGATAAACTGTCCACAGGCAATCTGGCAGTGGCGTGAGGGCTGTCAACATGTGACTGAGTGAAGGAGGAGGTGGGAGTCCACTGAGAGAAGAGGAAGCTGGTGTTTCTGTTTCTTCTCTGTAATGTCAAATTCATGTGAGGGTCTCATATGAACAGAACTTCTTCCACTCTGTCACATTTGATCATTAGAATTCAGGCCTTTATTTTGACTTTTGAACAGCATAATTGTTCTTTAATTTAACTTGTCCACGGGATACTGAGATAAGCATCTGTACTATTTCAGGTCAGTTTCATTATACTTGCAGTTTCTGCTGAAGTACATGCGATCGTATCTCCAAATAGAACATTTCCTCATGACCTGTGGTTTGCTGTAGGCGGTTGGCCACAGTCACTGCTACCTAGTCTGTGAGCCACTGTTAGACCACAGGTTTATCTCTAAAGATGCTGGGTTGTCAGCGAAATGAAAGCATGTCTTTGTTTTTGTCAAAGAGACCTTTATGTTTCATAAGTTTTAAATGGAAATATAAACAGTACATAGTACATTAAGTTAATTTAATTTGTAATTTCATATGTAAAAAGTTCCATTTTAAAACATTTAGAAAATCAGGAATGAAAGACCATTTCATAAAGATGAGGCTATAAAATTTATTTAAAGGAAGACAGCTATTTATCAAGCCAGAATTTCTTAAACAGATTGTTCCAGAAGCTACTGTAGGTGCCTCAATAGCAAAAGCATCATCCCCTCTAGTTATATATTTAGATATAAATGTCATGAAGCAGTAAGATGAATTGGAGCCTTTTGACTGCATTTTGCTTTGTAATAATAAAGCACTATGTATAAAAGGTTTGTGAGAGGTAACTACTGGCTTTATTTATGGTTAATTTATAATGCACTAATACTTACAGATCATTTATAAACCACTTTTGCGTTGTGGTGGTTTGACCTCTGTCCTTCTGTGAAAAAAACAGCTGTATAGCAGCTGGACAAAAATCCACTTATTAACATTTATAGTTATAAACTTGCTGGATTGTTGTAAAAAAAAATAAAAATAAAATTATGACTTAATTAATTAAACTCCAGACCTTTTATTAATGACTCACCAGCCAGATTTCTCCTAACCTGGGAAACCAAAAGGCATTCTTATAATTAATCTAATGAATTAAAACTTGAAAGAACTAGCTGGGCCTCACAGCAAGAAGGTCGTGGGTTCAAACCCCGTTTGCCCCGGCCTTTCTGTGTGGAGTTTGCATGTTCTCCCTGTGTCCGCGTGGGTTCTCTCCGGGTGCTCCGACTTCCTCCCACCATCCAAAGACATGCAGGCTAGGTTAATTGGTGTCTCTGAAATTGTGCTTAGGTGTGAATGTGAGTGTGACTGGTTGTTTGTCTATGTGTGGCCCTGCGATGGACTGGCGACCTGTCCAGGGTGTACCCTGCCTTTCGCCCGATGTCAGCTGGGATTGGCTCCAGCCCCACCGCGACCCTGTACGCAGGATAAGCGGTTGACGATGGATGGATGGAAGAACTAGCTGGACTTGAACCAGGGACCTTTCACTTATGTGGACAAAGTCACAAACCCATAGTCCACCAGAACTCAACCCAGGTGAGAGCTGAAGAAAATTTATTTAGTATTAATGAGAAAACCAAACATGAGTTGCAATTGCTGGATTCCAGGGAGTTAAACTCTCAGTGTCAATGTCATCCACAAAACAGTGAAAGAAAAAGAGATAAACATTTAAAGCCTGGAGATCTTACGCAGCCAAACTCAGGATCATCTTTGCAATCACTTCTTAAAGCTTTTATATTATGGCTTTTTCTTAACTAGTGCTATTTGTTGGAATTATTATTATTTTATTTAGTTTTTTCTATCTACATTTATTTGTTTTTACTGGTAAAACTGTACTTGTATTGTTGGGTCTCTGTAAGTAATTTTGTAAAGAGAATGGTCTAGACCTGCTCTATATCAAAAGCACCCTGATATAACTTCTGTTATGATTTGGTGCTATATAGACAAAATGTAATTGTAAAGGACTTTGTTACTTTGTTTTGAAAGGTGCGATATAAATACAGTTATTAATATTAATAATATTACTGGACCCATAATTGAACCTTGAGACATAGATTATAGGAGCTGATGACAGGAGGATTTGTTTTCAAATGGGAATTAAAGCTGTATCAACCAACTGCTGGTATGTACCTATATTGCAATGGTACATTGTGTCAAAAATTGTCCAATTGTAAATTAGAGATAAGTCAGCTCTCAGCAAATACAAGCTCAAGGGAAATTTTGTGACAGTTTTGAGACCATTTATCTCTAAAACCTTCTAATCCAAACCCCGTGGCTGGCCTCTTGAACAAATCACTCAGGGTTATCACAGGGTGTTTCCACTGCATACACAGACTACCTCCGGTTAGTGATAAACAACACAGTGCACCTATGGAGGAGGTAGATCAGACAGATATCACACAGATATTGAATTGGCTTGGCCAACATGTTCTGTGTGTTTGACTGAAACAGCAGAAAACAGTTTAACCACAGTATCACACAGCGAGACTTAACATCATTTGCCTCAAATCTAATCACGTCACCAGTTACACTACTGAAATGTAATTTTAGTACAGCATAATACAAATAATTAAGGAGAAGTATTAAGACTTTTGAAGCTCGCAAACACATGTGAACCAACCAACATACAAATGCACAAAAATAGTATTTTTTGAACACTGAAAATGTTCTACTTTTGTTATTGAATGGTAAAGTATATTCAACATAAATCCCACCTGACATGGACAGACTTATTTTATTAATGTGCTAAAGCTGAAAATTCAATTTTATCAACATTTCTCTTTATACATTGCCAACTCAGTGGTTTTTCAAATAGTAAAACATGTATGTAAAACAATCTTGAGGTCCTGTTACAAGTTTCAGTATATATATTTTGCTACCAAAAGTTAACTGCAGGGGGTGCTGTACGGGGTAGTTACAGTTCCACCATTTTAAGAAACTTGAAAGCATTCAGATATATTTTATTCACAAGGTTGGTAAGTTTGATTTAAGTTTCTTTTAAGAGTCTGACACACCTCTTATTTATAGGTTTTGTAAAATAACTATAATAATAATGTACATGGCTGAAGAGCACAAGCACACTGTGAGTAAATATTAAAGACTCTTAATAAAGTGCTCTGAAGCTTTTATATAGGACACTAAAACTGTTGTAGATCCAATGCATTGTATGTAATACTAAAATACTTTTTTGTCACATAAATTCTATGAATTAAGAGGTATGACTGTGTTTATTGTATGTGCAATGAACTAAGCAGACATTTAACAAATCCCTCTTTTACAACATGAAAAAATAGGACCTCAAACAATTCACATGATTTCACAGTGTATCACACCATCTTTAGATTAGCTCTTGCAGTTGGCCCGGACATTCATATACACTTTGTCAGCTGTGAAGACATGAGAAGAGAGAATTATTTGACATTAGAGAGTTACCAATAAATAGTATTGATATAGACCACTGACACTCTCGGCAGGGATAAAGGAGTAATTAAGTAATTAAGAAAAGGCCAGAAAATGTTATACATGTAAAGAAACTAGAATTACTGCCCCTCTGCCAACCAGTCAAGGTGCATTTTGCATCCACATCTGTCCAGACTCATAATTATGTAGTGAATACTCAATACTTCAGAAAAAAGGGTATTTTTTGGCTAAATGTAAGTTATCCCTATTGATGATGCATATGTGTTATTCCAGTGAATGTACATTGTTGAACTGATTAATGAAGGACTATCATAGATGTATTGGTTAAACCGGAACAAATGCACTGATTACTATGTAAAGATGGATTCTTATAGAGTACAGCTGAACAAAATGAGGTGCTTGTATCTAGGTCCACGCCAATACATTGTTTGCAGTCAAGTGATTCCAATGACACTGGAAATTCAGAATGAGGCAGGAATTGTAAGGCAGAACTGACGAATGCCTGTACTGTACTATTCATTGTTTACTTAATGTGTTGTCCCAGTCAACATGTGTGAAATCTTGAATCATCCAATCCATTCTTAAATTAGGGCTAGAAACCTATGTTGAGGTTGCAATGACTATAGACCTTTGTGTCAAAAGTGTCACCTAGTCAGTGTCCGACTAACTGTGAAATATGGTCACAATCTCCCCTTCTCTTCCTGAGGTATAGTGATGAATAACGGACAAAAAATTGACATTTTCTGGACTGTGGATGTCACAATGAAGTTGACCTTTGACCTTTTGGGTATAAACTGTCACCACGTCATTAAATATTGGTGTGTATTACTGCATCACATCTTGAGTTAGGTCAATTTGAGGTTACAGTGACCTTTGAGTCTAAAGTGTCACCAATTCATTGTCACTGATACTATGAAATATGGTCATCAGTTCCTGAGTTATGGCCAAAATTGGGTTTTGTGAGGTCACAGTAATCTTTGGCCACAAAATTCTAATCAGTTTATCCTTGTATACAAGTTGACATTTGTGCCGAATTTGAAAAATTTGCTTTCAGGTGGATATCGTGTTCATAAGAATGGGAACGACAGTCAACACAAAAACATAATGCCTCCGGCCATGGATATTGCCGATGCTGAGGCATAAAAATCTTGTCAACATAAGAACTTAAAAAATGTGAGAATCATAACAAAACATCAGTGTAAGAAGGCATGAGCAGTTCTGAAAGGCGTCTGGGGGAGCAATTGATCCCTGATGAACCTTTTCATCTACATGATGCCTTTACTGTAACAAACGCCATTACAGATATAAACAAAAACATGACTTATTTCAGCCCTTGTACCTCACCATTATCTATCTTCTGACGTCGAAAGCTGGCACATCGGTAAGTGACAATGACAATGATGAGGGTCAGCAACAAATCTGCACAGATGATGCCTGCTATTGTCCCTGGCTCAATCTTGTAGCAAGACACAGTGCTCTCTGGCAAACACAGGCAGACAGTGAATGAACAGACAGAACGAAAATAAGAGTGGGATGGAAGATGTGAACTAAGAACTGACTGGAACAAATGATTCATCAGGTGTTTCTTGCCTGGCTCTGCATTTGTGCTTCTTGTTTTTTTCTAAATGAAAACATTCATAAAAATGTAATTTCAGAGGTGTGTGTGTTCTCTTTTTCTTGTACATACCTGTGAGTGCCACGGCCAGGTCTTAGAGAAAGAAAAGAAACAAACTTGAAAACATCACAGATTCTGCTTATTTGCTCTTTATGACATGCAGCAGCACATTTGGCAGTTAAGTTTCCGCTGTGCAAATATTTTGTGGTTTCATTTTCC